TATACATACATTTTTTGCATGTGGCGAAACTTTATAAAATGTGACAAATTTTTAGTTTTTTCCCTACGATCAAGTTATTTCATTATTTAACATTACACATACAATATTTTATATGCCACACATACAAAAATTCCGATGGCCATTGAAGTCTACATTTTCGATGACTCTCCGGTGACTATTCAATGACTCTCAGACATTATTTTTTCCCAGTGTACTCACAAAAGAAGCGAAGATGATGGTGAAGATGAAGTTCAAATAGAAGGTGAAAATGAAGAAAAAGAGAGCAGGAAAGAAGAACGAAACAAGAAGAAAGAAGGAAAAAAAGAAAATGTTTGTATGTCGTACCTTTATCATGATTGGTACTACCACCGTCCCAAATTGATTTGCAAAATTTATTTTTTGTTAAACAGTTTCATTTTATTTACTTAATTAGAATGATATTTTTATATTATATTCTAATTTGGAGTTTGCACCTCAGAAAAGATTTTAATGTAATTTCTGAATATATAAACTTTAATTATAAAAAATTGAGTTAATTATCAATATGAATGATTTAAGGAAGAAATGTTGAGTTTTGCAAATCAATTCGGGATGGAGATAGTGAGCCCGTTTGGTAACACTAAAATTGGCCGATTCTGCTGAAAGTTATGAAGTTTTAGCTGGAGTGGCTTTATTGGTCGATTCTGCCGATTTATGCAAAAATTATATTTAAAATATATTTTATTAATAAAATAAAGAAGACATTGAAAAAAAGGTAATTTCAATACAATCAATACAACCAGAAAAATAACTTCAATCTTACTTTTTCTTAGTATTACACAATTCAACACTCGAAATTAAAAGTTACATGTTTGGTTAAAAAATTGACTAATAATCCTAATAAGATGAAAAACAGAGTCACCATGCTTGGTATATACTTCCTCCTAAGGGTGAGCATGGGATGGTACAGGACAGTTATTTCAAAAAACCCGTCCCGTCCCAAAGTGTGGTTCTTTTAAAAATTAAAGAACCGGTACCGTCCTGAATATATGTAGAACCTGTCCCGTTTTTTTACCAATTTTCGGTACGGTTCGGTTCTTCGGTATTATTCAATTCCTAAATAATTAACTTCTAAAAAGTCAAAAGTATTTTAAGTTTTAGCATTAATAAGTAACTATACAAAAATTGAAGAGAAGAGACGCACTGCAAGATTAAAATCAAACATAACTTAAATACAAAACTAATAGTCAAAACTATATACAGAAATGTAACATTCAACTAAAAATCGAAAGTGATAGCCAAAATGAAAAAACAAAAGGTATGTCTTCGCATGACAAATGTAATATAATATATAATATAATATTTGAGTCAAGCTCCGTTGTCACGCCCCGGACCTGCACGGACACGTCAACAACCCGCCGTACAATACGAATAGTCAACCACAGTCAAGCACATCCATATTATACAAGGCGTCTCGAATATCGTTCACACGTAAGCCATCCATAAACAACATAATAAGCAATCGAATATGTAGCGGAAAACATAGTTTGAAAACAAGTGCCACACGTGGCAAACATGAGCACGCAGGCTCTATAGTAAAATATTCATGAGCATGTTTATTAATGTTTAAAAACAGAATGGAGGGAGCACGAACCAAGTCTTCCCTCTTAGATGATCTCTCGAGCAACGAGCACAGGAAGCAAGCTCTAGCCTCAACCTGAAAAATGGTAGTGGGACGCCCCCGAAGGGGTCAGCACTCTACAGGGCTATAAAGTGCTGGTGTGGATGGCATCTAATAGATATACAACAAGTATTTCAAACACAAGACCCTTAAATAGGGTGATAATATAATCTAGGCCGTAACCCCCAGTTACCCCTTTTCAAAATATACTTACTTTATATATAAAGTCAAGTAGTCGGCCCGTAGGCCCAAGGTTTGTTTACCAAACATAGCCCAAACCCCGTGACCCCTAGTCACAACAAAACATAGGGTTCAACCCTAACACATATGGTTGCATTTCTCGAGTCCAACTCGACTACATCACCATGCACCTTATTTAACACAAGTTAATTACTCCACCGTGCATTTCTTGAGTCCAACTCAACTACATCACCATGCACATCAATCACCACATCATGTCTACCCAATGCAATTCTATGAGCACGGGCTCAAGTACATCTCCTTACATTGGCATAGACCCCAATTCCTAAGCACTCGCTATGCCTAGAATTTGTAATATCGATAATATATTTTGGGACATCCTTATGGACTGCCCAACCATGATCTTAGCATCACATTACATCAATTTAGTCACTTGCATCACAATCAAGTACATCAATTACAATCAAACCCTTAGATTCAATTCCTTATCAATTACAACAATCATTAACTAGTATTTCAATACTATTAAGATTAATCTTATCCATCATATATTCCATTTGTAAAACCCTACATATTTAGAGATATGTAGCAGCAACTTAATCTTCCAATGTAATACATAAATAATCATTTATGTATCTACACAATTCACACATGAGTAAAATGCCTATTTCACACAATAGTTCATTTAACTCCATTTTTATCAATACTTTACCAAATCATTTCCCATTTCATTCTTTGGAAAATAGATCAATATTCCATCAATAATTTATCATCATAATCCATGGAAAACATGATTTAGGCATTTAGGTAATCTCATGCTTAACCTACAAGTTGTAAGCAACTAGATGTCGATCCTCACCTCAAATGAGCTTTAAAACCTTCCTTCTCGCTCCAATGACCAAAGCCTCGGCCAAGAAGGTTTGAGAACTGATTCCTTGCTTGGAATTGATTGTTAAACAACCTTCTCAAAGTGCTAGTTCAACCCCTAATCGTTGATACGAAAACGGCCCATAGAATGGGTGTTTTCCGGTTAACTCGTTTCCTAGTTTTCCAATATTTGCTCTAGGTTAGTATCTAACCTTTACATCAATAAAATAACCTTATGAAGACATATTATACACTTGGAGTAGTGTATAATAGTTCCACCAATCGTTCATATCATTTGGAAAATGAAAAGTAAAGGTTTGGGGTGAATACTCACTTTAGGAGAGTAAATCCGTTCCTGCGAGGTTGTGTTTTGCTCGGACGATTTGGAAGCCTTCCACTACTCCGATTGATGCAAACCAGACCTTCACGGATTCCTCGTCTTGAGAGATTTCTTTTGGTATCTTATACGCCTTAATTGGACGAGTCAATCTCAAGTTATGTCTCAAACAATCAGCACTATGCACTGAAAAACGAACCTGCGGACTGCTCTCTTCCTTCCTTCTCTCTTGGGTTGTGTGGATGCGTTTTGCTCTCTTATCTCTTTGGGGTTTGAATGGGGTGTAGGGGGGAGTGTATAGGAGACCTTAAACATGCTAAGAGAGCATGTGGCTCACAAAAGAGCATGGGAGATATTTGGTTTGCAATCAAATATGGGGTGGACCTCTCCCTTTTGTTTTTCTTGGAGTTTTTTGTGCATGTGAGCCAAGAGTCCGCCCCATATAGTCATCTCACCTCTTTTCCTTTGTTTTGCAGGTACCAAGTCCATGTGGAATGGTTCCCAATTGATCCCATTCAACTTGGGGTCCAAAATATCTACCAATACTTCCAAAAATGGGAAAATGGGTCCTATTGTTTTATCTTTTGCTAAAAGATGTCTTTTTGTACTCATCCTAATTTATTTAGAACAAGTCAACTTATTACATCACATTATTGATCTCCAATATGTGTAGGCTCATCTCAATAATTTACTTGATGGATATCAAAGAAGGAAAAATCCTACTCCCATTATTTAACTCAATAATGTCAAAGATGGGGCTAAAGGCATTTGTATTCATCTCAAATCATCCTATCACTTATTTCAACGTTTGTCATCCGTATTATTGGACTACTAGCCGTGTGGGTCACCCCCGAGTGGGCCTACGACGCCTTCTCGAATACTTGCTATTTTAGCAGGTTGAGCCCAAAATAATGTCTGAGCCGCCCGACCTTCCTCAACTTGTCTTGAAAAGTTACGTATCATTATTTGGGAACAATGTTGGGCTCGTATATTCATAAATAAGGCCCAAATAAGTATTTGCAAACCCGACACTAATACACGAGTTGAACAGTACGATAATCAATCACACACTACGTAAAACATTAACCGTTTTACAATTGTTTGGAAATCGGAAATTCAATACATAAACTTGAATTTAAATTGAATTTTCAAGGACGTTCGGGTGCGGTGTCACATCCGTTCTTTAAAATGTCATACGGTTTTATATATAATATAATATACTCCTTATATATTACTACCTCCGTCCCCTGTTATAGTCACATTACGGTTTATGATGCTTGACCGATGATAAAGCAAACAGATCTCTGTCCGCACTCAAATTATTTTTAGAAAAAAATACATATTCAAAAACTATATTGAAAGCTTTACAAAGTCGCAAAAACCAGAATCAAATGTGATAAAATTTTGATACGTAAAGTAAGAGATTAAGAGTGATTTGTGTTGACCAAATGAATTGGAAATGAGGCAATAACAGGACAAAGGGAGTATTCTATATAGCCGATTTTTTGGGATGATATGGGACGGTTCAGGACAGTTCGGTTCAATACGGTTCAGGACTGTTCTAACTTAAGAATCGGTACCGTACCATATTATTAAAAAAGTTCAGTACGGTACGGTGCAACATTATATTTTTCTGGTTTCGTTCGATTCTGGTACAATTCGGGACAATTTTCGGTACAGAATGAGAAGTTCTTCCGTCGCTTAAAACTTTGTCAACTTTCTTTTTTGATTGTTTCACTAACTTTGTCATTCTCCCTTCTAAATAAATGAAATATGATTTGGATTAATTTTTCTCGTGCAAAATTCAATCACTCATTTTTTACTTTATTAATTCTGGCATTATTCAAACTTTGCAAAGTTTCACGAGATGGAGTAAGTAATTGGTCCTACATTACATGCCATTGTGTACTGGACTCGTATATAATCTCCCGTTGCATAAGCCTGCGGAAAAACCAGCTAGCGAGTCAATGAACTGGAAGCACTGAAAACCTGTCATTCTTTCAGGACCAACTCCATTCATAGTTCAAAGGTCTCATCTTTCTTCCGGTGGAGAGAATCTTTCACCCAGCCGGTTTTTCTCCCGTTGGCTGCACAATTTGGAGCATTTTGATTTTTTGACAGCGTGCGGGGTTAGCTTTCACGAGGATGGGGGATTCACTGCAGAACTTTGGATCGGAGGAGCCGGAATCGATTACGGTAAAGAATAACTTGTCCATGGAGATTGATCCTCCAGAAAAGGAGAACCTTGCTACTGCGGAGGATTGGCGGAGGGCGCTCAAAGAGGTAGTTCCAGCTGTGGTAGTGATCCGAACCACAGCTTGCCGAGCTTTCGACACCGAGTCCGCCAGTGCTGGTTACGCAACTGGCTTTGTTGTTGATAAGCGCCGTGGGATTATACTCACCAATAGACATGTTGTTAAACCTGGTGATTGATGCATCTATTATACACTATTCTTCTTTTTACTACACATCAAGCAGTGGCTTTGCTGCCTTTAGTTACCGATTTGAGGGGGATTTGAAGCTGAATATCATTTTGGTAAGTGCCTTTTCATTTAATGTGTGTGCTGAACTCTGGTGATCGCCTACATTTTAGGGCCTGTGGTGGCTGAAGCTATGTTTGTGAACCGTGAAGAAATCCCTGTGTATCCGATATATAGAGACCCTGTGAGTTTTCCACCCTACGCTATTATCACATACCTTAGTATATATTTATGAATGAATCCATCATCTTGTATTCCTTTGAGTATTTATAGTTCTTGAAATTTCAAATCTTTTCATGAAAAAGTTCTGAAATTTTAGCTTTTGCTATCCCAAAATATGACAGGCACGGGTGTGAGGTTAAAACAATATCTGAATATTTACTTAGCAGTTTTTTTTGTTTCATAAAAAGTCCATGTCCATCTAAAATCAACTTACATTTGCCTTTAGCAGTACATTTTGTTTTTTTGTAGATTTTTTCTGTTGGAAAAAGGCACTGGGTCGTTTAAAATTTTTAATTGCTACTTCTGCTTATCATGAATAAAGCTCATTTCTGCTGACTGGTGGTGGGTCTGCATAACCTCACATCTATAAAGCCACAAATAAAAAGCTAGGTGGCATTCTCAATGACTACTATTTGAAGAATACTATCATTGCTATGGAGTTGAAGCTTCAACAATTTGTGTTCTCGATACTTTGATTCTTGCATAAGTATGCTTCTGGTTCATACACTGCCAGTGCTGATGTAAATATCCTGTTGATCTGTTTCATAGGTTCATGATTTTGGCTTTTTTCGCTATGATCCTGGTGCAATACAGTTTCTGAATTATGAAGAAATCCCTCTTGCTCCTGAGGCTGCTTGTGTAGGACTGGAAATCAGGGTGGTCGGGAATGATAGTGGAGAGAAGGTATTATCAGAAGATCATATATCTTCTTTCTCTTGCTTGCGTACATTTTATTTTCGTACTTCCCGCCCTGGTGGTATGTTTTTTGAAAGAAATACGCAAAAATGGACAGAGATTAGTTGAGTCAGAGGGAATGGAATCTAAAACAAATAATTAATACTCCGTATACATTATATGAAGTATACATATGGTGAGCTTTTTCTGTGTAATGTAGTGATCAGCTTGTACATTTTGAGTATGTACTGAAGGATCTAGCATGTGCAACTGTCCCTTCTACAAAACATTAGTATGTAACGCATGTGGGATTGATGATATTGGATATGGAACAATCCAACATTTTATATTTTACTTAATAGGTTGAAAACTTTATTGTCCTTCATAGTGGTATCTTCGTTTTCTAAACTGATTTCTATTGCTTTGAGGTTGGCTAGAAATAGATGGAGCTGTGTGTTGCGGACCCATTTCTGGGTTGTGTCTACCAACAACGTAAGATAGATGAGAAGAGTGGTGACCATGTTATCTAAAGTGCTGCGCAAGTTTCATTCAGTTATCACCTATTATGAGTATTCCTATTTGTGTTAAGTCAATAATTGGTATTCTTGTGGTCGGCTAGAAATGGCTCATTAGTTGGAATGATATCTTATCATTGGAGTAATAATCTTATTGTGCATACGAGCAAGCCTGGTTCCTCCTCTGCCTAGGGCGAGATGCTATATTGCTCTTCAATCTATTTATCTGCCATAGCTTATCAACCTTCTCCTCCACTGTTTACACGGAGGCCATGGATGAGATCCTGCATGTTGTCCTATATCCCAGCGGTGCATTTCCCTTATATCTTGATTAAACGAGAATATTATCCGACCAGTTTACTTGATTTGTACTTATTAAAACCCTTTTGGTGGGCACAAAGTGTTTCTTTTCTCGAATTTTTATATGACTTTCCTTGTAGAATTATTTCCTTCTGACAGTTCTGACTCCTGATAGATTTATGCTGCTTATGCAGCTAATACATGTGTGTGTGTGTTTCTTTATAAATTTAATGTCATACACTACCATTCCCTTATTAAAATTTGATGTCCTGGTTCATGCTGTGGGTTGATTTACAGGTATCTATTTTGGCTGGAACCCTTGCTCGGTTAGATAGAGATGCCCCACACTACAAGAAGTACGTTATATTTTGATGCTTTAGGTTCGTTTGTGGTTCTTTCGCCAAATAATAATACAGAGAAAGGATGGTTCTAGACTCAATATCAAAATTATCAAAATCTTATTGTTCTGTTTAGGATAATTTTTTTGGGTAATTGTCTGCCAGGTAAAGCCTACTTGAAACTGGATCCACAGTCATAATGTGTTTAGATTTTTATTTTTATAAATTACTACCTCCATCCCTCTTATAAGAAACGGAAGAAGGTGTCATGATTATTAAGAAAAGTGGATTTGTGTGGTTGATATTAATTGATAAAGTAAGAATAAAGTAGGAATGATTTAGAGCCACACAAACTTTACCAAATATGTTATGAGATAATTTTAGTGGGATTTCCTGAAAAGGTAAAATGGGACAATATAAGAGGGACGGAGGGAGTATATTTTTATTTTTTATAAATTTATTTTTATAGCAGTATCATCATGGACATGTATGCGACTTGTACTACAAGTGTCCGTACTAGTGTACTATCAGAGTGCACCAAGGATCGGCTCTGAGTCCTTTCTTATTTGCTATAGTCATGGATGGACTTACAAAATCAATTCAAGAAGATATGTTGTGGTGCATAATGGTTGCCGACAATATTGTATTGATTGATGAGACGCAATCAGGTGTTAAAGCAAAGTTGGAAGTATGATGACAAACATTGGAGACCAAGAGTTTCAGACTGAGCCAAAGCAAAACTGAGTATATGGAGTACAAGTTTTGTAGAGGTAGTAGTAGTAACAATGGGATTACCCTTGATGGCAAGGAGCTACCGGTGTTTGTTATATTCCGTTACTTGGGCTCCATAATTCATAAGGATGGTGAATTAGATGACGATGTATCCCATAGACTCATAGAGTCAGATCAAGGTGGATGAAATGGAAGAATGTATCAGAATTTCTATGTCATCAAGGTATATCGACTTGACTGAAAGGTAAATTTTATGAACATCAATTAGGTCAACATTAATGTATGATGTGGAGTGTTGGGCGGTGAAACAATGTCACATTCAAAAGATGAGTGTGACAAAGATGCACATGTTGCGTTGGATGTGTGTAACTGTGTACATACCAGAAAAGACAGCTTGTGAAATGAGATCATCAAACAAAAGGTGGGAGTAACACCTATAGATGATAAGATGTAGGAGTCTCGATTGCATCGGTTTGGTCATGTACGCATAAGAACGAGTGGTGAACCTACTAGACGACTTAGAGGTGGGGAGAGGAAACAGGAAGGAGAGGGAAAAGAAGACCCAAACAGACTTGGATTAGAGGAATCATAATTGATATGCTTCTTCTTGGGTTGGATGAGAGTATTGCTTTGGAAAGAGCAAAGTGGAGGGCACATATTCATTTGGTCAAGTGAACTCTTTTCTCTCTTTCCTCTTTCTTTTCTTTTACCTTTTCTCTTCTTTATCTTTCTATGTTCTTATGTTATTTTTATATTTCTTATGCTCTTTTATCTTTTTATCTTTTATTTTTCTTATGTTCTTACGGTAATTTTATCTTATATTTATCTTTATTTTAGCCATTTTATCTTACTTTATCTTTTTATTCTTATAATCTTTTTTTTTTTCATTTTCGGCTGTGATATCACGGATCAATTTCATGTTAGCCGACCTAAAAAAGTTTTGGGAATGAGGCTTGGTTGTTGTTGTTGTATTAATTATTACATATAGATGTATTTAAGAAGAAAAGGGACTGAATATAATATTTGCTTTTATTTATACCACAGCTTGAACTTTGAAATCATTAGTACTGTAGTAAAAACCTCATATATAGATATAAAAGATTGGTTAGAATTGGATATTTAAGATGGAGTATTATTGAATTTATGTTTGTTGGGAGAATTAGTTTTTTAGGCATTGAATTTATGGAATGTGGATAGTGGGTTCAGACTGGTGGGGCCTTTAGTTCCTCTTGACTAAAGACATGAAACTATCCTCAAACCACCTATTGCACTTTGATCAGCAATTCTGCAACACTCAGTAGATTGTAGTGCTTTTAGATCCCCCCTGACATACATAAACATGTTACTGCTTTCTTTCTTGATTTTATGAAACTGTTTTCTATCACTGATTTGATATCGTACTTGATTTGCACTTTTAACTGATTTGCAAGGGTAATCCCCTAGGGCCTATCTTCAAATCTTTGATCAATCAACTTAAGAAAGTCTGTGTGGTTTATCTATTGTGAAGGCCTTATTTTGTGCTTTTTAGTAATGTATGCAAAAGGCATCAAGTCTTTGTGATGAAGACTTAAATTGATCTCACATTACAAATGGATAAAGTTTAGCAAAACTCAACTAAATCGTGTAGCTCATTTTATTTTTATTCATGACAATATTGTGTAAGATTTGCTCCTTGGATTACATTAATGATGAATTTACATTGAGTGCAGGGATGGCTACAATGACTTTAATACTTTCTATATGCAAGTAAGCCATGACCTTACTCACTTTATCTATGAATGGTAATTTGTTGTGTCACCACTACCACTAGACAGTCTATGCTTATTCTTTTGATCCTATCTTTTGTTATTTACCGACAGGCTGCATCTGGGACTAAGGGTGGTTCCAGTGGCTCTCCTGTAATTGACTGGCAGGGCAGAGCGGTTGCTTTAAATGCAGGGAGCAAGTCATCAAGTGCATCTGCTTTTTTCCTCCCTCTGGAGCGAGTAAGGATATATTTCCTGTACTTTAATAGATCCGTGCCTATGTTGTAAGAACCGGACCGGGAGGCAACCAGGACAAGTTACTGGGTCAAGGGTCATCCCGGTCAAGACTGGTTAACCGCGTCACCGCTATATACATTTATATTTTATAAAAAGTATATTTAAATTTGTAACTAAACCATGAATGCTTTCAAATTAGAGGAACAAAAAGATAAACATAACATTAACCACAAAGTTATAAAAATATTGTATAAATATGTTTTTTACTTATACTTGGAATATATAATACACATTCTAATAGTACTTCGTACAAAATAACAATAGTATATATAATTAGTTTTCATTTTAATATTATTATTAATTATTAATTACTGATAAGTAATAAACAAAAGTAGATTTTTCAAAAAAAAAAAGTAAATTTCGGATGTAATGATATCTACACAAGAATAATACTGCCTGAGAAGCATTATATTTCAACGGGGTGTTGTAGATCAGTTGGCAGCATCAATGCTATACATTGCATGAGGTTACACTGTTACAGGTTAGACTCCTCTTGGCGGCAGTCTCTCCGCTGCAGTTTTTCTTCTTGCAGGCCGGTTTTTAACGGGTTTCCGGGTTTGGGCATTCTGGGCCGGTTGCGGGTTTAATGCGGGTCACTGGTTATATCCGGTTTTGACTCAATTAACAGGTTAGAGTATAACCGGACTGGATTGATTGACGGTTCGCCGGGTTCCGGGCTGACCCGTCCGGTCCGGTTCTTTAAACATAGATCAGTGCTAGTGTCCCATCAAATACACAATACAAATCTTACCTAAGAAACGAATAATGTAAAAACAAAATAGATTATTGTCATTGGCTGGTCCTACCAGGCTACTATTAGGGGCCTGGGACATCAAAGTGAAAAGAAGGGCTCTTGAATTAAACAAAAGTCTTCGCGCACATTACTCAGTACTAACATTCAAATCATACTCTCAATTCAAATGACTTGAAAGTTGAAACAATATACTACTTCTGTCCTTACATTGTGACAAGAGGGAGTCATGCGGTTATTAAGAAAAGTGAAATGTGTGGTTGGTATAACAAAGTAAGAATGAATGTAACTGCCCAAATATTACCAAACATGGTATAAGACAAACTTAGTGGGACGGACAAAAAAAGGTAAAACAGGACAAAGATAGGGGGGCGGAGGGAGTAATAAAATTTCAACAATATTACAAGGCTAAAAAATCATGAAAGACTACATAATTATAAAGTTTTTTAAACCCAAAAATATATTGTTGTAATTTATGCTTAGTATTTCTATAAAATATCAAAAAGATGGGGTGTTGGCTAATAAAATGCTGGTTAAAGGCATTTACGGCACCAAGGTGCTACCTAGGCTAGAATTTTATTACCCTGTCTGTTACATCTACAAAAATACCAAAAAGAGCATTCACCATCAAACCACCACTGTCTAGGGGCGCGTAGCTGGCTGTGTTCTCAAGAAGGCCATTTTTTTCAGCAATGGTTGGATTCCAGTATTTATTTTTAATAAAATTTCTCGAATCATCTGAATCAGTTTTGTTTTAACTTTTTGAGGTTGTACGGGCTTTAAAGTTTTTGCAACAAGGAAGAGATTCTACAAACAAATGGGAGACAGTGTCTATTCCCCGCGGTACACTTCAGGTATGCTGGTTTATATTCTTTCGGAGCTTTTATAGTTCTGTATTAGTTATTATTAGCTTTTGTCTTCAAAAGTGAAACACTGGCTGAAATTACTTAAGGATGCTTTATATTTTTTTTATATGTGACATCCTGTCAATTGTTTACTATCCAATGTCACATGCATCAGCACTCCATTCTTGTTTTATATTAATGCCACTCTTTTACTTGGTAAAGATATGATTCCGTTATCAATTTTTGTGGGTATAGATGACATTTGTTCATAAAGGATTTGATGAAACCCGCCGACTTGGTCTTCGAAGTGAAACAGAACAGGTACTGGAACTGATAGTTTGTTTTTATTTATACACCTGAAGATAATAATATAATCATATGCTCATACACCTGGCTCTATGTTACTAAACAGTTTGTGCGAAAATCATCTCCACCGGGTGAAACTGGAATGCTTGTTGTTGATTCCGTGGTATGTATTCTTGGTGCTTTTGTAACATATATCTTGGTTCATGTATACAGTGTTTATTAGGGATCATCGTTTTCAGGTGCCTGGTGGTCCAGCATATAATAAATTAGAGTCGGGTGATGTTCTTGTTTGTACGAATGGGAAGGTCAGTTCTATCTTTCTTGGCATATGAACATTATGAATGATTTGTGCAATGTGCATGATGGCCATACTATTATATTACAACACATATTCATAATAGCAATTAGTTATTGTTTAAGTATTTGTCCCACACCGAAAAGCTATAAAACAATATTACAATTATATAAGACTGTGGGCTATTCCTCATAACAAGTTGACCTTTTAGGATGAAACCATGAGTCTTAACATGGTACCAAAGTAAAGTCCGGTCGTGATTTGACTGCTTGTTTAGCACCCATGATTAAGGATAGCTTGTTAAGAGTCTCTTTGGCCCATTTATACAACCGATATTGTCCAGCCCGGTTCGGGCCGAAGGACTGTGTTAAAGTATTTGTCCCACACCGTAAAACTATAAAACAATAATACATTATATAAGATTTTAGGCTACTCCTCCTATCCCCGGGTCTTAACACTTACTTCGTATTTTACTAAAAACAAAATTTCTAGAAGGCCATTAGTTTTTTGTACTCCAATTTTATCATATTGAACTTTTTTGACATTAGAGTTGTTACTGTTAAGTGTTAATATTGTTTTCAAATGCTTAATATCAAAGGAAAAATATAGTCATAAAGTTTTTTAGTTTTGAAATTTATAATAACTTAAGTTAAAGGGACCCTTGGTGCACGGTTACCATGTTGTTGTGTGACCGTCTCGGACACCGCTTCAAGTCTTTGGAGCAGTCTCTTGTCAAAATGACAAGGGAAGGCTTTTCCCTATACACCCTTGGGGACTTGCGGTGTGACCCTTCACCGGACCCTTGCCTTATGTGGATGCCAAAGTGCACCGGCTGCCCTTTTTTATAATTACTTCAGCAATGTTTATACTTTATAGCCCGAACACTTCCGTGCTTTCAACACCATGCATCTCCAATTCTTTTCTTTCTATTTTTATTCTATTTAACATTTGCACTTCTCATTAACCAAAAACCAGTGTTCTGCTATGTTACCGTAGATTCTACAAAACCACTTCTGGAACTGTATAACAGAGTAGTATCCTACTGTTAGTTTGTTAGTCATACTAATTTAAAGCTGCAGTTGGTAAAGTCTGCTGCTTCAATTGCCTGGTGCCATGACTTTCCAAGTTAATTGCTTTGGCGCTTTAAGAAAATTTCTTGAATAGTTGGGATTTATGTCATTAAGTTTGTTGTGTTTTTTTTCCTTGGGTGGTTTTATGATTTTTCATGTTTTGGTCCTTATTTCTTCTCTTGGAAACTTCTATTGCAGGTGACTACTCAGTTCCTTGAAATGGAAACTCTACTGGATGACAGTGTTGGAAGTAAAGTTGAACTTACAATCGAAAGAGGTGGTGTGTCATTGACCATTGACTTAGTGGTAAGTTTCTGATTCTGTATGGTAACCAGTTAACCACCAACATTTTCCATCCATATGTTCTATTGCTTGTGTAGTTGATCATTGCAGATTCTTAAATATTTTTCTGTGTAACTTATATTTGTAGGTGAGGTTTCTTCTTGTTATATGCCAGTCTAAAATCAGGGACTTGTTCACTCGATTAATTTCAGGTTCAGGATTTGCATTCAATAACTCCTGACTACTTCTTGGAAGTTAGTGGTGCAGTGATACACCCCCTTTCTTATCAACAGGTCTGTAAAAAGTATCTGCTCTTATAAAAAATGCATGGCCATTTCATCAAAAGGTTGAGTACATAATGACTAACAATGTAATCTAGTTTATATAAATCTACTAAGAACTTATACCATATGGCTGAACTTGTATATGGCCGGGTTCTATTTGGTTGACCTGCATCTGAAATAAAAAATTTAAGTGCTGAGTTGGTTCATATATTAATTAAAACTGAAACCAGACTTTTTTCAGGTCATTTAGGATTTGTCTTTGAAAGTAGTCCAAAATTAAAGGATTTTTATACTCATAATGTTGAATTGGGTTGGATCAACGAAATTTGATGGAATATCTGTCCAATTTCTAATGTATGAACTATGAAGTAACAATCTCTGCTTTCCGCCACTCGATCATCTTCCAACTTTCTTTCTGTTTTATGACATCATAGAACAATATTTATTAAAAGGTTCAAAATACAGTATTCTCCATATAATACAGTTGCATAAAGGTGAAGAGTGTAGCTAGTGAAAGGAGAACAGAATTGACTGCTTAGACCTCAATAGCTATTGTGGTGAAGAGTGTAGCTAGTGAATAGAGAACAGAACTGACTGCTTAGACCTCAATAGCTATTGTGACCTAGAGTCTTTCAGCTGTCTGCCATTGATTGAAAGAGAAATTAAAACATGAGTTTGTCTGTTCAATCGAAACTCATACGTGTTGCCCGGGTACTGGCTGGTGGCAGCACTTATCTCGGTTTTCAGAAACCTAATCACAGCTTTATATGTAATATTGCTATCCAAACATGAATTTGAACATTACTGACATGGTTGGCGGTCTGGGAATTTAAACAGTATTAGGATCTCAAATATATGCGGGTTCATTGTTGCTTTTGATGTTATTGATGATGCTCACTACGATAATAACTTAACTCACTCCCCCCCCCTCTCTTTTTGATGCAGGCTAGAAATTTCCGTTTTCACTGTGGCCTTGTTTATGTTGCAGAACCAGGGTTTGTCTCTAACATTATCGTGTTATTATTTTTGTCTCTCCCTTGAAAACTGATTAACCACTCCCTCTGTGCCATTTTGTAAGATTAACTTTCTTTTTCGGTTGTCTAAAAAATATGACCACTTTCCTAGATTGAACTCGCCTAAGTTTTTACTTTCCCACTTTATCCCTTTATCTATCATTTTAGCATTTACTTTTTGTGGACTCATTTTACTTTTTGGAGGTTATAATTTTAGCACAACTTTCTCCTTTATTTTCTTAAAACCCCTGCCAAACCCAAGTGATGGAGTGAGTAACTTTTATCTAGTATGCAATGGTTATTGATTGTAAGAATTATCTGCTGATTGAATCTCTAGTTATCCTGTGAGGAACAATTTGTCACCTCTTTCCTAATGCACTAATCACAATTGCAGATATGTGCTCTTTAGAGCTGGAGTTCCCCGTCATTCCATTATTAAGAAATTTGCAGGTGTAGATATTTCAAAGCTTGAGGGCTTAATATCTGTCTTATCTAAGTTATCTAGGGGTTCTAGAGTACCGTTGGAGTACATTAGCCACACAGACCGTCACCGGAGGAAGGTATTTGTGGTCCCATTCAGATCTTATTAATATCTTAGCTGCATATGCTTTACCATTATTTATTGATTGCCTACTGAGACTCTATTTGATGCAGTCTGTATTAGTCACAATAGATCGCCATGAGTGGTATGCCCCTCCCCAAATTTACACCCGTGATGACAGTTCTGGATTGTGGCTGGCTAAGCCAGCTTTATCACCTGACTCCATTCTCCTTTCGGATGTAATTCCTGTCAAACATGATCTCTCAAGTCATAATGTGTATCCCGCCTCTCTTGAGGGTAGTCCAATGGACCACACGCCTCATCATGTTACCCAAGAGTCAACAGATGGTGTTACAAATGTGGAAACTGGTTGTGAAGTGACTGCAGAGGGGCCACGATCTCAGGATGTTCTTGATTCTGGAATGAAGAAAAGAAAGGTGGAAGAAAACACATCTGCTGATGGAACTATTATAGCCGATTGCCCCTTACATGAGCATGGGGAAGAAAGATTAGAGTCAGGGAATCTAGCAGATACAGTCCCGAGAGACTATCAAGGCCCTGCAACAGAGGCTTCTAATGCCTCAGTTGCTGAGCGTGTGATTGAACCTACTCTTGTTATGTTTGAGGTAACTATATTTGTTCTATGTATTTTTCTTTTGTTCTTTTGAGGTGGGACCAATCATCAAAGTGAATGAGGTATAACAACAATTGCATATTTGCATACCATATTAAGGCTATGGTTGGAAGTGTTCCCTCTCACTTGACCCTGGGAGGTTTGCTTCTATGCCTTCGACCCCCTATTACAACAATTTTGTGCAATTGTTGCGCCCCAAGGAAGTAGCTTTTGTACCGATTGAAGTTGAAACTCATTTCATATGATTACTTTGTGTTATTCTTTTACATCTTAAGAGGCTTTGTAAGATACAACAACAACATTACCCCAGTGCCGCAAAGGCTCTCACCTACGGTGGGATGGGGGGGGGGGTCGGATGTACGCAGCCTTACCCCTGTACTAAAGCACAAAGAGACTGTTTCCGAATGACCCATCATGAAAATCGCGTCGAAAATTGCATGGACTGCTTGCTGCATCATAATAAAGAAGCGCGGACAGTTTAGTGAGCCATTTTGCATTATTCCATCATATTCCCAAGCCAAAAAATAGTGAGTCTTTGGCTCCATTGTAAGTGATGGAAAATGAGGCTTTGTAAGATAATATGATTTTTTTATTATCTCAGATTAAATTTACTGCTCAGAATTGGAAAACTTGGTAGGTATTAATGTATTAAAGTGTAATGGGTTTTGTTCCATTGCTCACCTATTTTTGGCATTGCAATTTTTTAAGATGTTACTATAAAGTGTAAATTTTATGCTTCTTTGAGGTTATGGAGTGTTGGGTATCCATGTCAGGTATCTGTACCTACATGCCATGCTACTGTAAAGAGCTAACCGCACTTGGTTATCCATGTTGGATATGGGTATGTGTCTAGCACAGCTATGCTCAAGATTGTTGTGACATTTCAGTTGGAGGATCCATGTGAACTATGATGTAGCCTTGTACGCATGATGCTTGTCCTTCACGAGCCCATGGCTACAAAAAAGTAAATGAAGAGTCTAGAAATAAATGTGAATATTGAATTTTTAGAGCCGATTGCCTGATTTTTTTTCTCTATTCCTGTTAAGTGTTAACTGTTCAAATTGATATAGATTTTATGATACTTTCTATTGTCTCTCATTTACTTTCAAAATATTATATAATCACACACAACTATTTAAGAAAAACAGTGCAGTCCAATAACTGGTGCAATAACCTGTCATTGTAGACAACTAGACACTAAACAGATTCCAGACTTAAGTGACACCATCGTAGTTGACTCGTTGCTATGATGTTTATGGATTTTGTTCATTTCATTTTTATTTAGACTCTTTTATGGTGTCAAATTTGTAGGCTCATGTACCATCATCATGTATGCTGGATGGTGTCCACTCACAACATTTTTTTGGAACTGGTGTGATTGTATATCATTCACAAAGTATGGGCTTGGTTGCTGTGGATAAGAATACTGTTGCAGTGTCAGTTTCTGATATCATGCTGTCTTTTGCTGCTTTTCCTATTGAAATTCCTGGGGAGGTAACCATTTTAATACTCTGTAATAAGGATTCTGAAACATACAAGTTGCTACCTCCGTCCCACTAACATTGGGACAAGAGGTGGCACAATTATTAAGAAAAGTGGGTTTATATGGTTGATATTAAATTGATAAAGTAAGAATAAAGTAAAAATGATTTAGAACCACACAAATTTACCAAATTTGGTATGGGGCAATCTTATTGGGACGGACCAAAAAAGAAAGAAGGGACAATCTTAGCGGGACGGAGGGAGTAGTATTTAAGCAGCTTATTCTTCTTAACAGGTGGTTTTCCTTGATCCTGTCCACAATTTTGCTCTTGTTGCATATGACCCTTCTGCTCTTGGACCTGTTGGTTACTCTGCCGTTCATGCTGCTGAGCTTATTCCTGGTAAAAGTTTTCAGTTCTTGTTTAGGATACATCTGTTCAAGACACAATTTTGGTTATAGTTTCTATTGGAAACCGGGAAAAGCTGACCTGCATTTTGTGGATGTTTTTTATGGGTATATGCATAGCTTGAAAGATGTCAGTGGTCACGGTTCTACTTTTGGCAATACCTGTTTTGGGTAGATCGAGAAGCTTTCTACGAAAACCTTTTGATTTTGCGCTTCATATAATTTTAGAGAAATCTTAAAGTTTCCTGGTTGCTTGGCAAAAGAAAAACGAAGTGAATGCTTATGTATGCTAGTTTTTTTAATGGTCGTTTTAGGAGTTCTTGTCTATTAGATTCAACACCAAATAGGACTTGTTGAATAAAAAAGTTATTAGTTGATATCTCTGAATAAGCAAAGGGTGAGTGTTGGACACGGTTTTGGAAGGTGGATTTAAGCCTCAAGGTGTTTTATGTATGTAAGGTGAGGCATAGGTAAACCTCATAATTGGGTAACCAACATGTTGTAGGTTTAAAGTCATAATCTGCTCTTCCACATTAGTGACCCACACCTCCTTGTCCAGATCATAAAGAGTGACATGTATAGATACCATTAATAAAGCTCCACTAGCCTGGTGCTTAGATCATTTGCAAGAAGCAGATGACTGGTGTGAGTTAGATCAGAGGAGTAACTCCCATATGAGTATATATGAAAATGCATGGTGATGAGAGGAAGGAATTGTAAATCTGCAAGAAGTTAATGAAGAAATCTGTTCTTTGAATGTGGCAGCATATATCTTTTCGTTTCATACTCTCATGTAGGTTCAGTGGCTTAATGAGTGAAAATTAGTAAGGACAGCAAGGAAACTGGACACTAACAGGCTGCAAATTTTAAAAGAATTTGATCAAATATAAGCCTGAAAGGCTGAAAGCCCGTCATAGTTATGAGCCTTAAGCCTAAAAAATCCTTATAACATTTGAGGCCCTTGTACCTCGAGCATATGAGGTGTAAGCCTTTCTACAGTCTACAGCAGTATGTAATTAGTGCTGTTTCCACTAGCTTCAAAGTTTCCACTAGAAAAAAGAAAAGTTAATACGTTGACTGCATTAATTGATTTTACCAGTTAGTTCGTACTAAGATTAGCTGTTTGCGTGAAGGCATTTGGTAAATTTAGTAGTAAAGTGTTGGCTATTGTATTTGGATGTTTGAGTTTATAAAGTAACATACAAGTACATGAGTGTATATTATTGTTAAAAGATTCTCTTCAGTAATTGTTAAAGAGTGATGCTTGGTGTACACACTTTTTGTACACATTTTGTGTACACACTCCCCAATTGTCTGTCTACAAGGTAGCTTCACAACGAATTGCCTGTATAGACAGACAACTAGGGGGGATGTACGCAAAATGTGTACGAAAAGTGTGTACCAACAGCTTTTTCTATTGTTAAATGTGTGAGTGTGTGTTTTGACTGTGTGGGGACCTGCTAAAAAATATTAAGCTAGATGAACAGTAAATCATATTGGACATGTATGACAGTGCTGTACACTTGTACTTCAGTTATGTGCTAATTAGTCTCTCTATTGCTGGGAACAGAACCCTTACTCCGTCGCGGTGATTCAGTGTCCCTTGTGGGATTGAGCAGAAGCCTGCAGGCAACCTCTAGGAAATCAATTGTTACAAATCCTTGTGCTGCCCTGAATATTGGATCCGCGGATTGTCCACGGTATAGAGCAATCAACATGGAAGTTATTGAGCTCGACACTGGTATGTTGGACTCTCCGTAGTGTTCACATTCAGACATTCTTAAGAATCTTGATCTCATTTTTTTCATTGTTTTCTGGAGAAAATTTTCTTGAGCTGTAGAAAATTTTCATGATATCGCCCTTGTCGTTTCAGATTTTGGTACTAGTTTTTCTGGGGTGCTAACTGATGAATGTGGAAGGGTTCAAGCCTTGTGGGGAAGCTTTTCAACTCAGGTTGGCTTTCATAACTAATCTATCTGACGGCTAAAAAACATAAAAACAATGTGTGTTCTCAGTTTGCTTCGCTTTGTATAACGTAGTTTAATGGATGCATTTGCATTTCTAGGTCAAGTATGGTTCCAGTTCATCTGAAGATCATCAGTTTGTCCGTGGAATTCCAATCTATGCAATAAGTCGTGTTCTGGACAAAATTATTTCTGGTGGCAACGGACCTCTTCTTCTTATAAATGGTGTTAAGAGGCCTATGCCACTAATGAGAATATTAGAAGTTGAACTTTTTCCTACTTTGCTTTCCAAAGCCCGCAGCTTTGGATTAAGTGATGCTTGGATCCAGGTATGTTGCTTTAGGCAAGTCCACTCCCCAAGCCTTTCATTACTTGTAATTTCAGACACTCAGCAATCAAACATTAGCGAAGACTTTGAATAGGTTTTCAATCCATCACATGCATTCTTTGTCCAGGCAAGCATCACTTTAGACAGGCTAGATGGTGTTTATTTTTTGAGGGGACATGTTGGGGGGAAGGGTTTTTTGAGAGATCATAATTGGGGAGTCAGAGGCGAGAGAGGTAATGGTTAGATATTGCTTGTAGATCTAGAGAAAATCAGTTTGTCGAGCCCTGGTGGATTGATGTTTCAACTGCAGATATTCTCTGTATAAGTGTAAGCACTTTGTCTATAAATATACTTGATGTTCGAAGGAATATTTTAATGCTCAGACTTCAGAGGCTGCAATTCTTGATTAAATTCTTCACCTGAGTGTGATGTTCTATATACCCTGCAGTCGGTATTTGCACTACGATTTCCGATTGTAATGAACAGATTGAAGTATTAATGTGCTAATGGGTTGCACTTGTGGTGTTGGTCTTCCCTTCGAGGGGGCTTGGTTATTTTTCAAATCTATCTGCATTTCAAAAACATTTTGATTAACACTTTGGTTTGTTGTAATAGGCACTTGTAAAGAAAGATGCAATTAGACGGCAGGTTTTAAGAGTCAAAAGTTGTTTTGCTGGTTCAAGGGCTGAAAAGTTGTTAGAACAAGGTGACATGGTCTTAGCGATCAATAAGGAACCAGTTACTTGCTTTCGTGACATTGAAAATGCTTGCCAAGCATTAGATGGGTGTGATAACGGTGATGCCAAACTGTGCATGACCATATTTCGTCAGGTGGGTAACTGGAGCCTTCACACACATACTTTTGACCAAACCGTTTGGTTCCAGTTGTTCTGGTCATGCTTGTATTATACTATGTTACTTACAAGTTATTATTGTCTCTTAGGGGCATGAAATTGAAGTACTTGTGGGAACAGATGTGAGGGATGGAATTGGAACCACACATGCAATAAATTGGTGTGGCTCTATTGTCCAAGATCCTCATCCTGCAGTCCGTGCACTTGGATTTCTTCCAGATGAAGGCCACGGTGTATATGTGACAAGGTCAGGATTTTAATTGCTTCAGTAACTGACGAAACATTTACTGCTAAAACTCTGAAGTTTATCTATTTGTTGCATCTTTGAGTTTCATGGCATACAAACCTTATGAGATCATTCTTATGAAGTTGAAGACATGATTTTGTAATAGTACGTATAAGTTAACTAATACCATACCCAGTCGAAAAGGTCCAAGAAACATGGAATGCGTACAAAATAATTAATAACTTGTGGCCAAGTGTGGTTGCAACCCCAACTCAAGGCAAGGACTTCAAAGATGTAAACATTGTTTATGGGATGAAGATGGAGCTTTAAGTTGGCTTTCTAAAAGTTAGTGTTAGAAATTTGAGCCCACCTCAACATAAATGAGATTTAAAATATTATATAAAGGGAGAAGGATACTGCATATGAATTGCATGAATATGGTGCATTGACCTGCACAGGACCCACCCCTGCAGTCAACAATTTCAATTTATTTATTGTTTTATTTGACTGTTAGGGGGGGTCCACAACAGTCATTTGCATGTGTATTTGTTTTGAGCAATTGGTGATCCATTATTATTGTTGTTGTTGATGATGTTATTATTATGATGATGATGATGATCATCATCATCATTTCATTAGTTTCAGCCATTGCGAAGGTAACTGTCATTTAGTTATTCAATATTTTGAAGTTTGCCTATAAATGTAGACCACAACTCCTAAAAAAATCAGAAATGTTCTAATAATCAAATACTACCTCCGTCCCCCTAAGTTTGGGACAAAAGAAGGTGATACGGTTATTAATAAAAGTGGGACGGGTCGAAATGGTAAAATGAGACAATTATAGCGGGACGGAGGGAGTACTTTAGGTGTAAGATGTATCATCTATCTTTTGGGTCCCGAATTGATAAAATTCGAAGAAAAGGAATTTTATCATTCCAGGACTTGAAAGGTAGACGAATTATCAATCCAAGACCTGAAAGATGAAATGTATCAGTATAGGACCCGAATGATGGAAAATTCTCAATCTAGTACTCAAATGATTGAAAACGATCAATTTAGGACCTAAGTTTTCTCAAATTTTATTACTTTTTTTTAGTTTAAAAAATTTAAATAATATTTAGTTTTATTCAACTAATAAACTTTTGTGTAGAAATACTCACCAAATATTAGCAATAGAATTAATAATAAATTAAATTAATCAAAACCTATGAAATGTTAGGTCCTAGATTGATAGTTTTTCATCATTCGGGCCCTATACCGATACATTTCATCTTTCAGGTCCCGATTTGATAATCATCTATCTTTCAGGTCCCAAATTGATAAAATTCGTTTAAATTTTAATTTGACAGAATGCATTTATGCATCTTTGATAAAGTTGTCTTTGCGGCCACGTTTATTAGCTTATGATGAATTCCGAACTTTACAGGTGGTGTCATGGGAGCCCTGCACATCGGTATGGTCTGTATGCTCTTCAATGGATTCTTGAAATTAATGGGAAGCCAACTCCCAATCTGGATGCTTTTGTTGAGGTCACTAAGGTATGCTAGTCCTCTTATTTTCTTACCCAGGACTCCAGGAGGGATATGTTTGCAAGACAATTTTGAGTTATCATCTACGTACACAACCACCCCTGAATCCCTGATTATGCCCTTAACTGTAGTTGAGGTTTCTTCTCTGTTTGCCAAACCACTTTACACATATACACATACATACATATATAGGGTTTTTCCAAAGATAATTGATTCTTTTTCCCACATCTTATAGCAATTATTCGTAGTTTCCTACCATTGAACAAAAAGAGTCATTTTTTACAAGTTATTTTATTATGAAAATAATCATATTTCATCAATTGGAAGTTGGAACTAGCTTGACATGTGATTACATGATTTTAAGAGTTCTACCTTACTAAAATGGCTTCAGTAACAGTAATTTTTTGGGGAAATAGGGAGTTTTCTTATAACATTCCTCAAAATTTAAGAAAAGGGACTTACTTGGTTTGATAAAACAAAATTGTTGTCAGAAATTAGAGCATGAGGAGTTTGTTCGTGTAAGAACTGTATACTTGAATGGGAAGCCCCGAGTGCTTACTTTGAAACAAGATTTACACTATTGGCCAACATGGGGACTCAGATTCGATCCTGAAACCGCCATGTGGCGACGCAAGATCATCAGGGCATTGGACTCTGGCGTGATGTGAAACTTCTTGAATTAGCAGTGAGCTTTCTCCAGGTTCTCTTTTTGAGGTAGTAACTTGTAACTTGTAATATAGTCAGAAGCATGCACTCTGTTCTTAACAGTCACGATGTAATCACCGAATCACGAATCTGATATATAGATATAATTTATGAATAATGATGCACTTCAACTTTACTCATAAGAAAGAATTTACAGATTTCGGGTCTCCTGTTCCTGCATGCGGTAGACCAGATATATGAGTAGTGAACTCCTCTTATGATTCTTTCTTTGAGGTAAGGTCAGATTGGTACTCGAAGTTGCATAAAAAGGTTGAATAAGTCCTTTTATAGGAGGTTTTGTCTGGCCGTCGTCATTTGGGGCGGTTCCCGGTGGAATTTTTTGACGAAATTTTTTGAGCATCTTATTCATTAAGTCTAGTTTACTCATACCAAATTTCAGCTAAAAATTCAACCGGGAAGGCATTCAAATGAATTCTTGAAGATAACTGCGCAGTTAAAAGCGCAATTATCTTCAAGAATTCATTTGAATGCCTTCCCGATTGAAGTTTTAGCTTAAATTTGGTATGAGTAAACTAGACTTACTGAATAAGATGCTAAAAAAAGTTCATAAAAAATTCTACCGGGAACCGCCTCAAATGGCGACGTCCGGACAATAAGGACTTGTTTGACCCTTTTTATGCAACTTCGAGTACCAATCTGACCCTTACCTCTTCTTTTTTTGGGTATCACATATTCTGATTTTTCTTATTCTTTTTAGCTTGGGAGTCATCACAATTCACAACAGAAGCATGTTAGCCTGTAGGTGTAGCTGTATAGAAGTGATGTGTGATGCATACTTGTATACCAAATTTATATCATACTGGATTCCGCACCTATATGTCAGTATATTTAACTTTCTATCATAAACTTTTGGTGTACTTCATTTTGGACCTGAAATTCATTTTTATTCTTAACATTTTTGCATTAACATCAATTCTTTAACTTCATTATTAGATCATACTACCTCCGTCCCATTTTATGTGTCTCCTTTGGTTTTGGCACAGTTTTTAATAAAGTGGTTGAAAAAGTAAAAGTTGTGGTTGAGATTTGAGTATAGTAAAGTGAAATGTTGTGAACCACATATTTCTTTCTAAAAAGGGAAAGATGACACTTATTTTGGGACAACCCAAAAAGGAAAGTAAGACAGGTAAAATGGGACGGAGGGAGTATTAAATTTTGCGAATATAACCCTTGTTTAATGGTGCATAAATCATAAATTTTGGATGATCTCTAATGACGAGAAAATGAGTTGTACGGTCAATCTTCCAAGAAATCAAAGATAACTAGTTGTGGTTAACTAGTAAGAATTTAGAAACACATTTAGGCTAGCTAGACAAGCTAGTAAGACAAGTGAAATAAACACACGGACTACTTAAAAAGCTGCTTACTAATCCAAACATGTGTTTAAATGCCTTAAAGTGCCGCTTACTAAGCATATTAGGTAAGGTGGATATAAAGAAAACTTGTTAAGCGTGAATTTAGTTTTTTTAAAAATTCTTCATTGTGCTTTTAAAGTCTTCTTCCCTTAAATAAAGAAGATGTTTGTTTTGGAGGAGCATTTTTCTATTGTTGATGAAATTTTGTAAATCTACATCAGAACTTGAACATCAATGCAGTTGTCTTCATACATAAGAAAAACATCACAAAGAAACAACGGTAATAATCCTCTAAAAGTATTCCATGACTAGCAAGTCTAACCCGAGGATCTTAAATAAACGCAATATCATAAATAGAGGGAATATGGCAAACAATATTTGAAAAACTTAATCTTCGTTTTGTCACAAAATGAATGCACATATGGCTGGTTTCCTCTTCCATCATAAACACGTTACTAGTTGGTTGATAAATATGATTAAATAATGATGAAATTCACAAGAATAATCCATACTTTTATGGATTCTACAATAATAATCCCATATTGAGTGTTCATAAAAATAATTTGTACTAGTATTAGTGTCCACATGAATAAATTGGATTGAATTCAAACTAATGTCATTTAATACTCCCAATCCCTACATACATTTTCCCATTCACCACGATCCGTCTCGGTTAACAATTTTATGTTCCAACAATCCAACCTAGAGAGAACTACATATGGTAGAAATGGTGTTGATATTAAACGGGTTTTAGTTTGAATTTTCCCCGAAAAGAAGAGTGGTGAAGAGAAATGTGGGAGCAAAGGTTGAAAGAATTAAACAAATATTAATTTGAATTCATCCCAATTTATTCTTATAAATATCATTGCTAGTTCGGATTATTTTCGTGGACACTTTGAATAGGGAGGATTATTATAGAATCCCAAAAAGTAGGGATTATTCATATGAATTTCACCTAAAAAGATATAGTGGCGTTGTGAAAATATATTAAACTGATTTTTATGGGTGTCCAATATTCCTTTAAAAACCAGGTAACTTATTTTTAAATTTAAGAATGATTTTAATTAATTTATAAGTACTATTTCAATGAGTTGACAATTTTTAAGGACAAAATAACAATATTTAATACGCCGGGCTTTCAATATTTACTCCAACGTTATTTAATGGACTACCCAAAATAATTTTAATCCCATTTTTAATATTCCCAATAACACTCTCAATGTAGTTAAGCCGTCTTGTACATACAAATTTAAAATATGACATACACAATTAAATTCTACCCATATTTTTTGAAGAGCCGTACAATTTACGCATAAGAAAAGCACTAGTAAGTAGTAACATGCATTATGAAAACCAAAAGCAAACATTTTATCCACCAAATTAAATTTAGTTAAAATTCACTCAATTAATATAAAAATGTTGTCTCAGGGCTGACTATCATTGAATTCTATCAAGAGAGTAACCCTCTTATGCATCACTACCCAAGCAAAATGAATATATAGTGCACAACTAAATCTAAATAATACAAATGATGATAGTAATGGAGGAAAAGGGATACCATTTTTTATTCTATATATATATATATATATATATATATATATATAACGTTAAATTTCTCATAGTAAATAATGTGTAATCACCTCAGGGTGAGATTGTTTCGTTTAATTTTTTACAGATTTATTGCACCACATCCTCTCATAATATATAAATTCGGCATATTAATTAGCCCCTTGTAATTTGAAAAATGCATCAAGCCTCTTTGTGTTATAATTATTCATGCGTTAAACTCCTTCAACAAACTAGTATAGTACCCGTGCGATGCACGGGGACAAAAATGTTTTTTTTTTTTGTTTATTGTATATATGATAAGGCACATATATTGAAATATGAATATATATATATATATATATATATATATATATATATATATATATATATATATATATATATATAGAATGTATCAAACAACAATGAAACACACATAACAAAATAAATAATAATTTGAAACAAATATAAATTGTTGTACAAATGTATTTATGAAACAACACATATATTTGAAACATCCAGTTCATTCATTTTTATGAAATATGGACTCCTATATATTTGATCGGCTCATAAAAAAACATTATTATGTTATTACTTTGTATTAGTTAATAATAATTACTCCTTCCGTGTCATTTTAACATGTTTTTTTGTGTTGTCCCAAATTAAGTGTCACATTTCTATTTTTGGAAAAATATGTGATACACAATATTTCACTTTATTATATATTCAAATATCAACGACAACTTTTACTTTTTTAACTATTTTATTAATAATTGTGTCAATCTCAAATGAGAAGCATAAAATGGGACGAAGGTAGTAATAAATTAATAATTATACCAGAACAACATAAATCTGGACTTCTAGGTTTGATCGGCCCATACATTTTGGCCCAATCACTAATAAGCCCTACACATATCTATATCTGAAGTATATACAGTACTCCGTATAAAGCTTATCCATTGCTTCATAACTTCATTCTCACTCTACACTACCGCATCTCTGGAACTCTCCAGAGTCTGCTACCGTTCTTCACTCATACGCTCTTCCTCACAAACACTCAGCAGTCAGCACAATAGTACTGCTGGGAATCGTTGCATTAGTGCATGCCTTGCCGTACTTCGTCTGCGGTCGATGTTCAGGAGACCACCGCTGTATCCCCAGGTTCTGCATAATTCATCCTCTTATGTATGTTTCATCCCGTATTATCGGACAAATTTAGGTTCTTTGTTTATTGAATATCTATCTATTTATTTATTTATTTATTTATTTATTTATTTATTTATTTATTTATTTATTTATTTATTTATTTATTTATTTATTTATTTATTTATTTATTTATTTATTTATTTATTTATTTATTTATTTATTTATTTATTTATTTATTTATTTATTTATTTATTTATTTATTTATTTATTTATTTATTTATTTATTTATTTATTTTGTAAGTGAGGATTGATTGATTTCTTGAATTGTTTTAGTTCTAAGAGCTCAACTTCATTTATGCGATTGTTCAGGACAGGGTCTGCTCAACAAATGCACACAACTTTCTTACTTTCTGATCCGTGGATGAATGTTTCTGACAGCTAGTAAGTCTGGCTGGTTATATCCATTTTTATTTAGTTTTCTGGATGTGATATTCCTTTCCACATTCCAATCTATATATATGCAAGTCTTTTTGATTATTTATTCATTGTTAAGTTTTGATGATTTATATTTTCTTATTGATTATATTTTCTGGATGTTATTTCTTTTTTACTTATATTTTATATGTAATGTATGTATTACCTTAAATCTTTTGTCTGTCATTGAAATTTTTATTGATTACCTATTTAACAAAAATTTACATTTCAAATATCCAGAGTTTTAGTAATAATGAAGTTTTCTTTGATTAAACATAATAAGTCTTTATAATTTCTCTTTGATTAAATACAACGACTTTTTATCTTTCTCTTTTAGCCAAATACTTTTAAAAAACTGAAAGGTATTATGAAGGCTACTGTTTAATTATATATAAACTCTTTTATTATCTCATCTTACGCATTTCTAGCATTCCATTATTGTTCCTATTACCTAGTTTTCTATGTTTAGTTTTCTTATTTCAGTTTCCTGTATTTTGAAAAAATAGTTTATAACATTTAATTTACCTTCGTAAAAAAACTAAGGTATACAGATGAACTTCAACATCACTACTTGAAACAGGATTTGGACCTAAAGTTTACAGTCCACTTTAAAAGTAATCTATTGGATATTAAAAACACCAAACAAAATATAAATGATGCCAAAACATCATAACACAGCCCCCAACATTAACCATTCTGCTTTTAGCAATCCAGCTATGCTTCAAATCCTTTCAGCCTTCACATGAATTGCCCTGGTTTTTCATTGAGATCTCATTCTGTGTTTCATTAGCCCTAGCAACCTGTTTCATCTTATTTTGTGTTTGAATCCAGATACGTTATTCTGATATTCTCAACCTACTTTCATTGGCTTCATCAGTAACGCTTTCCATATTTTGTTTTTATTAAATAATGTAAATAAGTTTTTAGAGCAAGTAATCTTATCAAAACTAAAAAAACTAACCTCGGACTGGATAGATGTAGCCTCTGAACGCCATTTAATCTTTGAGGTGTTAAGCTCCTGAATCCTGTTGAACAACATTTTCAACCTAGTCTTCAACCCTCTGCAACTGTAGTGTAATTTTGTTAAATATTCGGCTAATAATGATATATATATATATATATATATATATATATATATATATATATATATATAGAGTAATGATCCGGTCAGGAGTTCCTGACCGGAACCGCCGTCCGGACCGCGGCGTTTGGCCGCCTTCCCGGTGGCTTTTATTGATGAAATTTTTATGACATGTTCTCCATAAAGTCTAGGTTATCCACAAAAAAATTCAGCCAAAAACTCAATCGGGAAGGTCGTCAAATGAGTTTTGCAAGTTAACTGGTCCGGAATATGTATTTTCCGGACCAGTTAACTTGCAAAAATCATTTGACGACCTTCCCGATTGAGTTTTTGGCTGAATTGTTTTGTGGATAAACTAGACTTGATGGAGAACATGTGATAAAAATTTCATCAAAAAATTCCACCCGGAAGGCGGCCAAACGCCGCGGTCCGGACGGCGGTTCCGGTCAGGAACTCCTGACCTGAACATTATATCTAACGTTAGAAAATGTGAGAAATATACTGCTGAGTACTCCCGAATTTTGATAGATTGAACTCGTGTGTTGCAGAATATATATAATGATGCGATGGGGTTGAACTGCCGTAGTTGTGCCATGCCCAGACATGCATATCGTGTTGTAACCGTCCCACCACTTGATTGGAAGACAATTGAGGAGTTGCAACGTTGCAGTTGAGATTAGCAAAGATAGTGGGTCGTGAATGTTTTTGCATATTTTATATTTATTCTTCTTGGGACATCTGTAATTTTACTTTTAACCATCTTGTGACACGTGTAAATCTCAATGGCCAGATTGTGCAAGTTTGCTTCACGATTGAGCTTTTATATATATAAAGATTTTACAATTTTGAAATCATTTATTTTAATAATATGATCGAATAAGTAAGTAGCTTTGTTACGATTTTTAAATTATACAAAAACACTCATCATTTTCATTAGTTTCGCAATTAAATTTGTTCAGGAAGAGAATTTTGCACTTGAATAAGTAAATAACAGATACGTATAACAAAGGGGCACTGACGCATTTTTTTAAATCAAGTGGGACTCATGGGCCGAATTTATATTTTATAAAAGAGAGTTGTTTCAATGTACGCACACCCCAAGGCCCAAGCATAGAACCATTTCATGCAGTACGTATAGACTATATAGATACCTTTTCCGTAATTGACAAAGAAATGCGGGGCACAAGTTCACTATGGTATGTTTTGACGTTTTGTTGTACAAAAAGTTCATTTTTTTGTACAAAAAGTTCATTTTCTTAATGCATAAGTTTATAGAATTCTAAAGAGTTAACTTTACTTTGAGACGAAGTCTCAAAAAAAAAAGTGCACAAAAGATCCAAATTTCAGTGGTTTTACTACCACACTTGGGTTAACTGCCTAACTGGCATGAAGTTACGTACGCAGTGGCGGAGCCAGACATTTAGGGTTAATGGGGCCGATCCTTAACAATTTTACATTACAGGGGCCAAAGTGGAAAATATCAACATACTTTCTACAGATTAAAAGTATTTATACATAATATATATTTAAGAATTTTTTTTTCTTGCAGGGGCCGTGGCCACTTCCAGCCCCTCCCTGTCTCCACCCCTGTACGTACGTTCGTTCATCGGTTCATCCTTACCAAACAGCAGCCTAATTGAAATATAAGTAGTACTGACTTAGCTAAATAAGTTAAAGTACACTTATTTACCACCAAATGAGAGCCGTTAGGTTACTCTGTTTTTTCGGCTTATAAGACTTATTATCAGTTATTTTTTCCACCAAACAAGTAAATTTTGATTCTGCGTGCTGAATTGTGTCATAATAAAATTAAGTAAGGTTATAGTTATTCTTCTAGCTGAATTGACGGAGGTTATTGTAGATGATCATTTTAATTATTTTTCATTTTTTTTCTTAATTTGATAATAAAATATTTTTTTTTTTGAAAACTATAATAAAATATATTTTAAATACAATGTTTTCATAATCAAGCAGACAGAATCAACAATTCAGACACTTCAGCCAGAACTTCAAAATTTCAGCAAAATCAGATGATTCAGCCAATTTTAGTGTTACCAAATGGGCTCTTAATCCCACACACCGAGTCCTACAAGGATTCCGTCTATTCCACATTCGGTCTATTTTTTTTACTTTGTCTATTTTTGATACATGACTATTATTTTTTGTCTATCACATACATAGTTCAAAATACACTCCATATTCGCTCGATGTTATATAATTAGTCTCGTGTTTGGGCTTTGGATAATCTTATTCATAACAATATTTCCGCTTATCACTTTTTCATGAATCCGATACTACAATCAAGGCCGTCTAATAAATTTAGAGGCTCCAGCTCCAAATGGAAAATTGAAGTCCCACATTAATATAAAAACTTGAAAATATTACCAATTTAAATACTTATATTCAAATCAATTGAATACTCACTAAACAATACTATTAAAAAATTAGTAAATTAAAAGTTACTAGTTATACTTGAATTAAATCAACACAGCTCATTACTCAAGCAATTTGAGTAAAAGGACCGCTGAATAAAAACAATGGATCTACGATATTCCTCCTTGCTCATTTTATTTTACGGATTTGTATTAATATATATACTTCGTATAATACCACTATATAATACTACAATTTTTTAAAAATGGGTTCCTTTTAATTTGGCATATCCCTGTCAAATTCTCTATGAATTTTGACAAAATCCCTGCAAAAAAATATCTGCCAATCATATGTTTTTTTTGTAGTGACTAGTTTGAACAACTTGTTATTTTTTTAAACACCATTTCAATCACTCTAAGTAGCTAATTAAGCTAAGCTAGAACGAGTAATTAATTTTGTGTCCTATATATTCCTATTAACCCGCCATATAGCACTTTATTATAGCTTGTTGGGAGATTCAATTTGTGAAAGCTTTACGCCTTTACCCCGGCATTAAGTAACCTAGCTGAAGCAATTCGACCACTATAAATTCATCAAAGGTGCAGTGGGCGGAAGTGTTCTAATATTAATTACATGCAAAACCAGATTAATTATTTTAGTCCGTGAAATAAAAAAAAAATCAAGATACTAGTTAGCTAGCTATCACAATTAACGAGCAATAATTAAAGTTCGGGATGGGGATTTTGTCGTCGGAGAAGGTTGCTACGGCCGAGGACTGGCAAAGGGCAATGAACAAGGTAGTTCAGGCGGTGGTCGCGATCAGCGTCACCGCCTGCCGAGCTTTCGACACCGAGTCCGCCGGTTCTTCGACCGCAACTGGCTTTGTTGTCGATAAGCGCCGCGGAATTATTCTTACTAACAGGCATGTTGTTAGTCCTGGTACGTGCCTACTATATGTACTACGTGTGTGTTATCGGTGCGTATAATGTATGCATGTCGTCTCAAATAATGGAGAAAATTGTTTAAATAGAACTAAAACATATATACAACGTATATATATATGAATATGATTTTTTATTCTTGAACTGGGACTTTTTATTTTCACTACTAAGAGCATCTTTAATGCATGAGTGTCTAGTCTAAAAAAGCTATGCCAAATGTCAAATTATTAAAGGACTTCCAATCCACATGTTATATAGTGAAGTGAATAGACATAAATATATAAATGAAGTCTCCAATGCAAAAAGTTCCAGACCGAAGTTCCATATCCATGCGAAATTAATTTAGTAAATTGGATAAATTTAATAAATGATTTTTAACCATTTTCTTTTAAAAGTTATGTTTCAACATAATAGATGGATCCATTCTTGGTTCTTCCGCCCTATGTTTTTACTTTTTACTACATATTAAAGTTGGATCAATCATTCTGATAATATTTTTATATAATATTATTCTTTTATATAATATTTTACATACTACTTCGTATTTTACTTTTATTCAATATTTTACTGCTTTTCATGCGATCAAGAAGAGAACACGGATTTTCCTAATTCCTATGGACACCAATTATATATCATATACTTCGTATATACGATAGTATTATATATGTATATATTACTAGGAGGATTGCAGAGAATTCTTGTATATATGCAGAGTATTACGGAGTAGAAACGAGATTATAGGCATTATTGTTCCTTTCCCATGTTTTTGCCGAAAAAGAAGCCTTATTTACGTGAGATATCAAGTTCATATGCCTTTCTACACATAGACATTATCCCTTCACACCGTTTAATTTATTTTTGCCATGTCAGCCATGGACTACACGCATTGGAGGTAAAAACAATTACTCCAAGTCTAATTTGATGATGTGGCAAACATTATCAAGACTAGACATCAATGCATTGTGGATGCTCTAATCGGTGAAATTTTATACTTTTAATATGATCAAACAAGTCTTATTTTGGAAATAACATATAATTACTCTTATATTTGCACACTTTGTCTATGTTTTAATTCTATTTTGAATAACTTTTAAAATGTGCAAAATTAAACTTAATGCATGCATATATACTGACATCTTAAATTTTGCTTTATGCATGCTAACATTTTATTATACTACCTGCTTCCAAAAAACTTCATAATAAAACCAAAACTTTCAGTAGTAAATGTCAATATTTAAAATGTCACAACTCACAATTACCTTCACATTTTACTTTTATTTGGTTTGACGACATTAATTAGAATGTAATTAGAAATTCAAACAAAGACTTTATCTCACATTGAAAAGTTATTTTAGGAATGGAGGAAGTATATATATATAGCAGAAAATTTCATGCATGTGAAATATATCATCACTTACTAATAAAAACATACTCCGTAGCTTTTATAACAAACCATATGCTCCGTAACTCTATTATATTTTTTATATTAAAAAATCAATATGAAGTTATAACTTTCATGTTAATTAAAAGTTATACTTTTCTGTAAATTTATATTTTGAAGGTGAGAAATAAATATTTACCGGCCATGTGATATTTCTTTTAATTTCTTATTTTTAACTTTGTCAGTTTTTAATTTTACATCAATTTCTTTTTTCTTATACATTTTAGGACCCGTGGTGGCCGAAGCTATGTTTATGAACAATGAAGAAATTCCTATCTATCCAATATACAGAGACCCGGTAAGTCCTTCCCAATACATATATAATGAGGGTGTGTCTAATGATTTGTAGAGGCTGTATTTCAAACTTCAAGATGAAGCTCACATCCTCCCCCAAAATGGCGAAATGTCTATTGATGTGATGTTTGCAATGTATAGATTTGAGGTCGATTTAAAGCTTAATCTAAGACAATAAATTAAGAGAAATGTTGTTTGAACATCCCAAGTTGTAGGAACTCAACATTCGCCGGTCAAACTGCTCGTCCATAGATAATATTTTTCATTTTTCGAAAAAAATCATTTTTCCCAGTGACAATTTCTTTTGTCTGTGATGAAAGTGTTGGATTGTATTAATCATTATGATGTACACTTGGGATACATTTATACACGTACAAGAGATAAACTCAAACTAACTGCCTTGCTAATATAAAGGATATAGCTACGGACTAGGAGCTAATATATACAATTGACTAGTCTATGATATTATCTGATAGAATAATAATAATAATATAATTTATGCTTTAATACGCCCCCGCAAGATGGAGGTTCCATCGGAAACGCCCATCTTGGACCGAAAGTGTTCAAAGAGAGACTTCCCAAGTGGTTTTGTTAGAATATCAGCTATTTGGAATTTATTTGAGACATGTTGAACCATAAGTTGACCATTCTCAACTAAATCACGGACAAAAAAGAAATCAAGGGCCACATGTTTCATACGAGAATGAAACACGGGATTAACACAGACATGGGTAGCCCCTTGATTGTCACAGAAAATCCGGGGAGTGGTAGGCAGCCGAATTCCGATTTCTGAAAGTAGATTCCGTATCCATAAGACTTCTGCACTAGCATTTGCAACTGCCCGAAACTCAGCTTCGGTGGATGACCGAGCAACTGTCTTTTGCTTTGCAGATTTCCAAGAGATAATATTCGAACCAAGATAAAGAGCATATCCCGTAGTAGACTTACCACCATCATTAATACCTCCCCAATCAGAATCCGAAAAAGCTGTTAGCGGGAGAGAAGCGCACCGTTTGATAAAAAGTCTATAGTTAATGGTTCCCTTTAGATACCGGAGAATACGTTTGACCCCTTGATAATGCATATTTGTCGGAGCATGCATAAATTGTGAGAGACGATTCACAGCAAACGATATATCCGGGCGTGTGAAGGCTAGATATTGTAATAGTCCAAGTGCCTTTCTGTAATTGGAGGCATCGGCAGCATGTTGTCCATCAGTGAGAAGTGGAGGCGAGCTTGAACTCATGGGGGTGGCAACCTCCTTAGCACCATCCAGTTTGTACTCATCAAGAATATGTAGAATATATTGTCGTTGTGACAGAAAAATGCCATCCGGGTGGGTTATAGTCTCCACGCCGAGAAAATGGTGAAGGGCCCCAAGATCTTTCACAGAAAACCGATGAGTAAGCTGAGACACGAACTTATTAATGGCTTGCAAATTATTCCCTGTGAGTATAATATCATCTACATATACAAGAAAATATAAGAGGACATCATGATGAGCATATATGAAAAGAGAGGCATCAGCACGGGATTTGCGAAACCCCGTAGAGATAAGAAATCGTGACAATTCCAAATACCAAGCACGTGGGGCTTGTTTGAGTCCATATAACGCTTTGTGAAGACGGCACACGTGTTTGGGATGTGCGGAGTCTACAAACCCGGCGGGTTGAACCATATATACTTCTTCTGAAAGAGAGCCATGAAGGAAGGCGTTATTGACATCCAGTTGGCGCAGGGGCCATTGTCTAGAGAGTGCAAGGGATAAGATAATGCGGATAGTTGCCGGCTTGGTGACAGGACTGAAGGTTTCAGCATAATCACGGCCCGGTTGTTGAAGAAATCCACGAGCAACAAGCCTGGCTTTGAATCTAGCAACACTGCCATCTGCATGTCTCTTAATTCGGAATAGCCATTTGCAGGTTATGGGTGTCTGAGACGTCCGGGGAACTAGCGTCCAAGTTTGATTTCTACGGAGAGCAGCCATCTCTTCCTCCATAGCAGATTGCCATCTAGGATCACGTAAGGCTTCCTTCACACTTGCTGGTTCCAGGGTGGTGGACACGGGATGCCGTGTGGTAAGGTTGACAAATGGACTACCGAAATATTTGGGATTTGGAGCTCGAATACGGGTAGGACGGGGAGGGGTAATCTGTGAGTTAGATGATGACGGAGGGGAAGTAGCTGTCATTTGAAGAGAGGTGTTATCCGTAGCATGGGTGGAATTATTAGGAGTATGGATGGTGACGGAAGTGGACGTATTCTGCATGGGGGGGGGTTGAATTTGGTTGATGGTTGGAAAAAAGGTGGGAGTTGGAATTATGGGGTGGAGTGGGTGGATTATTATTGGTCGCAGATGTATAGGAAGTGGAATTTTGAATAATTGGATGGAGTGGGGATATGGGTGGTGGGGAAAAATCTGTGGGTTGGGATAAGGGAGATAGACTAGGGACGACCGAAAATTGAGGAGAGGGGATAGGTGGGGTTGAAATATTTGAATTTAAACTAGGTAGAGATAGTGGAGGGGAAGGCTGAAATTGTTTCCCAGGCTGCGGATATTTAGTTTCATGCATGCATGTGGACTGTTGGCGTAAGGGATAAATGTGTGGGACAAATTTCACATGTCGACTAATATATACACGGTTTGTGGCATAGTCGAGGCAAAAATACGCAGACTGAGACGGGGAGTATCCAACAAATACACACGGAGTGGACCGAGGTTGTATTTTAGTGTGAGTATAAGGTCTCAGCCAAGGATAACACAGACAACCAAATGGTTGTAATTTGGAATAATTTGGCGGGTGTTGGTGGAGACGAAAATAAGGGGTGTCATTGTCAAGGACCGGGGTGGGAAGGCGGTTGATTAAATATACCGCTGTTTGAAATGCATAGGACCAATATTTAATAGGGAGACCAGAATAGTGTAACAGGGCCAAACCCGTGTCAACTATGTGACGATGACGACGCTCCGCCACACCATTATGTTCAGGAGTGTGAGGGGGTGATGTGAGATGAGATATACCATGCGTATTGAGATAGCTACGGAGTTTAATATATTCACCACCATTGTCAGAAAATATAGTTCTAATTTTATGATGGAAATATTTTTCAACAAGGCGGTGAAATTGTGGGAAGATAGTAGACACTTCAGATTTTTTCTTAAGTGGATATAACCATATATAACGGGTGAAAAAATCCACAAAAATAACATAGTAATTGTAGCCATCAATAGACTTATCAGATGTACTCCAAACATCAGTATAAATCAATTCAAGGGGATTAGTTGCACGCATGGTATTGACAAAAAAAGGCAATTTAGTACTTTTATTGATGGAACATGACATACAATGAAACTCACACCGTGGATTACAAGGAATATTTTTATTTTTATGAACTAAGTACTGAAAGACACGACTGGAAGGGTGCCCCAGAGTGTGGTGCCAACTGGAGACATCCGCAAGATGAGTAACATTGACTTGAGGCACGGACTTGGATGAAACATAATAAACATCATGGATGTTCTCCCCTCGTAGAAGTGGCGCCCCCGTGACCCGATCCTTGACAAGAAAATGAGTGGAAAAGAATTCAACAGAAACATTGTTAGTTTGACACAGTTTAGCTACGGAGACCAGATTTTTTTTGTAACTTTGGAACACATAAAATATTAGAAAGGGATAGGGAACGGGTAGTGGTAGTGGGTAAGGTAGTAGAACCAGTGTGAGTAATGGAGAGAGCCTTACCATCTCCTAGACGGACCTCTTCCGGACCGCCGTAATCTGTGTATGTGGGAAGGAGATTAGCATCCGATGCCACGTGATGGGAAGCACCGCTATCAAACATCCATTGTTGATTGTGGGGTGATTGGGCAGTGGTGACATGGTTGACCGCCGGATGGCTTTGTTGAGATGTGTAGGAGATATTGTTGTCACGAAGAAAGCGCCGGAGTTTGCGGCAGTCCTTCACTTCATGTCCAACATTATCACAAAACCGGCAGACCATGGAGAAGGAGGAATGGCGAGTTTGGTGGTGTGAGTATTCTCCTCGGCCACGACGAGGTGCTGACCCTCTTCGGTCATTCGCATAGTTAGGACGCCGGTCTCCAGAAGATGATGAGTGATGCATGCGATCACTTAGTATGGTAGCATTTGCGGTTGGCAGGAGGATTGAAGTAGGTGCAGGGGCATTTTGAAGCTCACGTTCACGCTCCTCCAGTATGCTCTGGAGTTGACTTAATGGTAACGGTGTTTCACGAACCCGAATAGCGGACGTGATATCATGATAGTCCGGGCCAAGGCCGTTCAAAATAGACACAATCAGATCTTCTTCAGAAGTAGGACTTTGAGCAAGCGCCAGATCATCCGCTATTTTGTTCATTATAGTGAGATATTCCATGACAGATTTGTCACCCTTGGTAGTTTTGGCAAGTGTTGATTTGAGGAATATGATCCGGCCGCGGGATGTGTTGGCATAGGTGAGTGCCAATTTATCCCATGCATTGCGTGATGTGGTGGTAGAGGAGATGATCGGCTGAATGGTGTCGGAGCAGCTCCCAAGTAAAGCGCTGAGGATAGTCTTATCCTGACGATACCAGGTAATATAGCACGGATTCAACTGCGTTTTGGCAGCATCGGTGAATTGATCCGGGGCTGTGATGGTACCGTCAACGTACCCTTCAAGTCCAAGGCCAACAAGGGCGGCATGAACTTGGCATTTCCATACGGGGAAATTAGATGCCGTGAGTTTGATCGGGAAATTGGCTGAGGCGGTGAGGGGGATAACAGCAGTGGCTGCTGGGATCGTCATTTTGAGAGTAGGATCAGAAAAAAAAATTAAGCTCTTAAGAGTATGGCTCTTGATACCATGAAAGTGTTGGATTGTATTAATCATTATGATGTACACTTGGGATACATTTATACACGTACAAGAGATAAACTCAAACTAACTGCCTTGCTAATATAAAGGATATAGCTACGGACTAGGAGCTAATATATACAATTGACTAGTCTATGATATTATCTGATAGAATAATAATAATAATATAATTTATGCTTTAATATGTGACATATACGGAGTACAATTTGTTGTTGGTGCGAAAAATGACTTTCTTCACAAAACTAAAACAAGTGTGTGTGCACAAACAATCTAACATACGTGTAAAATGTCATGTACATGGAACTAGCGTGTACACAAAACATGGTCAATAAATTAAAGCTCAAATCTATATTTAATTTGTACACTTTTTTTATCTGGAAGCCCTTGTCTATATACATACTAGAATCCTTGCAGCCCAAGACTTTAAAGAAGGGAAAATGGTCAGATAAGCCCTCGAACTTACATTAAAAGTTCAAATCATCCCTTTTATAGGAGGTTTTGTCCGCCCGTCGCCATTTGGGGCGGTTCCCGGTGGAACTTTTTGATGATTTTTTTTAGAATCTTGTTCATTAAGTCTAGTTTACTCATGCCAAATTTCAGCTAAAACGTCAATCAAGAAGGTAGTCAAATGAATTTTTGAAGATAACTGCGCAGTTAAACAGCGCAGTATATTTCAGAAAATCATTTGACTGCCTTACCCGTTGAATTTTTAGCTGAAATTTGGTATGGGTAAACTAGACTTAATGAAGAAGACTCTAAAAAAAATTTATCAAAAAATTCCACCGGAAACCGTCCAAAATGGCAACGGCTGGACAGAATCTCCTATAAAAGGGGTGAATTGAACTTTTTATGTAAGTTCGAGGGAATATCTAACCCTTTTCCCTTGATGGAACGATTATTCCCGCATATGTCAAAAAACAATCAATTTAAAGGTCCACATTACTCAGCCCACTTAATTACCTCCACGCATGCAGCTAAATCAGTACGTAGGTAACGATTGTTTTTTGAGGCTTCATGGGTTGACCTCCCAAATGGCGGAATTGATAGTTTTTTGAGACTATGGGTTTTAATCAATGAGGTTTTGAGTACGAGAGCTTAATTGACTTTTCGTACAAAATATGAAGACTTATTAGATAGTTTTACCCAAATTAAAGCTCAAACCTTTATTGAATTTGTTCATTTTTGTTACCTGGAAGCCCTTGTCTATATTACTATATACCTTGTCTATATAAAATACTAGAATCTTGATGTTAATCACCGTGATTTACAACTTTCCTTATGCTCTGTCGGATCGAGGCGTGGGAGACTGTTAGAGTTGGGGAGTCAACCTTTTGGAGAAATACTAGATTCTTGGCAGCCAAGACTTAAAAATGTTGGGGCCATATTTCGTAAAATCTAAAGAACCCCGACGTTAAAAGAGGGTCATGTATATTATTTATTTAGTCAGAATCTAAATGATATAGGATCGGAGTATGACCAGCCCCATATTTTATCATGAACGAGGGCCATGTATATTTCATCTCAAACTCCCATATAGTATTATTATCATAGAATGTATCATAAATAAATAATAATTAGATAGTTTACATTTCATAAAAAAATATCAATGAAAAATACATGTTTGAAAAACTGACCCGTGCCGGCGGGGTCGACCCGGAACATGACGGTCCAAACCAAAATCCGATTCGGTTAGTTAAAACCCCGGAAATTGCTAAAAACCGGAAAAATCCGGTTGATCCGAGCCCAAAAAACCTGGGAAGCCGGAAAACCCCGATGGATCCTGACCCAAAAAACCCGGGAAATCGGGAAAAAACCCGGGGAACCCGAAAAACTCCAGTTTTGATTGTTTCTTCAATTTTATTTTTAATTTTTAAGAACTTTTAAACCCATAAAATTGCAATTCCAATACCCTAAAAAGAAACTATATACTACGTATAATATATTTTTATATTTGTATAAGAATAAAAATCATATATTATAAATGTACGATACAAATAAAAAATATCAGTATATTTTAATAGGATTAAAATTGTATTTTAAAATATTATGAGTGTTTTAAATGCTCAATAGAAATAATCATTAGTTGATTATTATGAATAATGACTGCCTTTTTATTATAATTTTATATATAATTATAATTTTATTATTCATTCTTATATGATTGTGTAATTGTTGACCGGGTTTTCGGTATTAATCGGGTTGACAGGTCCGGGTGGACCTGTGACACAACCATGTGGCAGTGTCGCTTCAAGTAGCTTATTATCCTCATCTTCCTTTTTCTTTTTTGATATTTTTATCTTTCTCATCATCGGATTTTACGGCTTAGATGTATGTATCTTTATATTCATATCTTTGTTTGTAGTCTTATCTTTGATAGTCTCAGGCTCTTCAAAAATTAATACACTTATCCATTTGCATAAACAAAAAATATTATTCAAATATTATTGAAGTTGCCAAGCAAAATATAAAATTTAAGCTTTTTAAACACAGCATTAAACAAGTAGTGAAGAATGAAATTTGTAATTTTTAAACAAATGAATTAATTTTTAAAGGATGAATTGGTATAAAAGAAGATCTATTTATTTAATTTGTGTATGCAATGATGTAATTAATCGGAACTATTTTGTTAATTATTAGTAAAAGTTTAAACCGACAACATTTAAAATTATTCCTTCACTGAATATTACAAAAAAGCTATTGATCTTGAGTTAGCCATGTGTATTGTGGAAGGACCTAAAAAATTTGTGAAAGAGGCAAGAGGGACCACCAAAATTTACTTTATAATAACTTCAAATATAAAAAAAATGATAAAACAAGTTATTAACATTAATTAAAGTTAATTACATATTAAATAACTTATTATTTATTATTGCAGTCTTGATCAATCAATCGTACGAGTACTCATATGTTTTGAAATGTTGCACATTAATTTTATTAATAATACTTCTACAAATGTCTCCCACGATGTAAATCACGAAAAAATTTGTAAGAATGACATCTCTCATCTTATTGTGAAGCTATGTCTTGATAATGTAATGCATCACATGGAATTGAAGACTCTTTCGATGGTGGTTGTTGCAACCAGTAACACTTTAATCTCACCTATCTTTTTACAAACTTCACCAATACGTTGCATGACTGAGCACACACTTCATTAAAATTATTTATTCTCATTTCATGTATCTACACCTGAAAATTGTTCTTCAAGATGCATTTGATATGTGGTTGAAAGATCGCATGAATATAACTCGACAAGGTTTTGGTTCATAAAAATTAGGTAACTTTATTTCTTTATGATGAAGAAATGCTAAATCAGGTGATTGATTCTATATTTGACTCACTAAAATGATTCTTCATCTCAAGATTCTCTAGGCTAATCTGATCAATAACCTACAACATCATCATATTTATTTTATTACTAATAAGTTTTTAAAGGGAAAGGATAGATACTAGTTATAGTAGTAATAGTAGCAGTACAATAAAAATAAAAATAAAAATAACAACAATAGTAATAGTAGTAAAAATATTGTTAACAAAAACAATAATAATAAAGTAGCTCACAAAATATATTATCTCGAAACCGTGATAATTTATTATCAGATGGGAAACTTGTCTGGAACAATGATTTGTATCTTCCATGTTAAAAATGTTAACTTTGTTCGTAACTCAATAGATCTCTTCTTCCATGAGATATTCATTTCCTTTCAAATTTGGAATTTACATTTAGTTCTATTTAGCACTCTCCGCTAGATCTTTAGTGCTCGTAAGCAAGCTCTTGACCAAATTGAACTACTTTGTTGATTCAATCTTTCCTGGTTGTATGTTCACCGTTTTCTATTCTCTACTATGGTTTTATGTTTTTTATATGAAAACTCATCCGTTCAATTACAATTAAGAAGATCACACCACATTAGTAATCATGAATAAATATTCGAAGAAGCTACTCGATCATGAACGTATTCTTTGTGCAACATCTATAATAACTAATTGTAATTGGAATGAATATATTTTGTATTAGAATCCACATCATATCCACATCAAAAAAATCATCAATGTTACATTTAGAGGAAAACTAGTGCAATGTTGCTAACATGTTGAAATTTGGGCCCACAAACCCCGCCTAGATCCTCCACTAGTTGTAACACCTTATGAACAGACATAGCTAGAGGACAATTTAGGCACTGGCTCACCCCAAATTTAAAAAACGCCTTAATTTTTAATGTAAAAAATTTCGTGTAATTTTTCCCCAAAAATATTAGTTGTACTGGTCTAGTCCGGCTCAGTTCCTTGCTATGTCCATATGGATAGCATAATAGATGTTTGTTCTGTATTATAGAATAGTTATTGTTTGTTTTCAATTGCAAGAGTTGCACTGTATTGAGATTATTACATAAATATGCCTCTGATTTCTACTATAAGCTAGTGCTGAAGCGAATTACATATTATTTTATTTTTACAGGTTCATGATTTTGGTTTTTTTCGCTATGATCCTGATGCAATAAAATTTCATGATTATGAGGAAATCCCTCTTGCTCCCGAGGCTGTTCATGTAGGCCTTGAAATAAGGGTAGTTGGGAATGATAGTGGAGAGAAGGTATCGTCAAAATATTATACTTCGTATATCTGTTCTTTTAATTTTTTTCTTTTAATTCATACTTCTACTTTTTTTTTTCCTTACATTCAGCCGGTATTGTTTTTGAAAGAAATATTTAAAAATGGACAAACTATTTGAGTAGGAATTGCATACTAGACAAATACTCCTCCCATAATGTAGGATAACATTTGGGTTTGACATGTTTTTCAAGAAAAAGAAGTACCAATTGTTATTTTACAATTGTGACCTTTCAAAAGGAGAAACAAATATTATGAGTTCCAAATTATTTGTCAATTATAGACAAATTATTGTGCCATATAGATCACATTAAAACGTCATAACTTATAATGTCAATTAATTATCAAGAATATTATCCGAGAACTAAAAAAGTTTGAAAATTTCAAAATAGAACTGACATGTTTTTATAACAAAATAGGACTAATTATTGTCATGTTTTGGCAGTACCAAACTTCAAAAATGACAATATTTTCCAAACTTGACATTAATTACTCCTATTTTGGGAATAACAAACATGACAGTCCTATTTTGAAATTTTCAAACTGTTTTAGTCCTATTTTGGAAACTTTCCTTTAATTATCTATAATTAGTTGAAATATTTTCTTTTGGACTGAAATTTGCAGGTTTGGTCTGATAAATGTACGGTTTCTGTTTATTTTATAACTGTTCAAGTATGGTATGATATGTTTAAGTCTGATCTGGTCTAAGAATAAAAATAGTTGAAAATAAAACATCTGAATACTAGTACTATGCGTCTACACTAGTGACAAGAACATTTTTTTTTTGAAAGGAAACTGATTATATTATATTAATCAAAGAACTTAACCTAATTCCCCTCTTACAATGCCCAACCTCCTCGCTCAGACCTCTAAAAGAACTATCTCCCTTACAACGCCAAACCTCCTCTTGAGGCTCCGCATAGCCCAAAGGCCCCCCCACTCTCTGGCTAGACTTAGAATAGACCACCTCAGAAGAAGCGAGACTATTCGCGAACCATGTGAGAGTTTCGAAGCTTTTAACGGCCAAACAAGCCTTATCGCTTCCACCAACAATAGCATCCCAAAGCAAAAAAGAAAAGATAAACCCCAACCTGCCACTAGAGTTCCAAATAAATAGAAAAGCAACATGAGTACCACAAAAGGAAAAACAACAAAAATAAATAAAGTCTTCATGGCTCTCGGCCTTATTTAACTCCCAAAGCTTCGGACCAGTGTCTCTCACTGCTGTGCCTGGCGAGCTACAAACTTGTAGCTCGCCTCCTCCCCGTTTTTTCCTTCGTTCTGAGCAATCTCCATATCTATCCCGGTCTGATGCTTTGCTGGATCCTCCACACGCCTTCGTTTCTGCTCTATGTATCCCCTCTCGTGTGGTGAGAGCCCACCCTCCCCAGTACTTGTTCGCGAGCCGTCCTCTCTATTTGCATTAGTGGCCTTGCTATCAGAACTGATTCCTTTCCCCCCTGGAACAAGCCATTTATTTTCTTTCCATTGCTTTGCCCCTCTTGTAGCTCTAAGCCAAGGACCAAAAGGTCTTACACCAGTGACTTCGTAGCCCCGTGTCTTACGCGGACAATGACTTTTCGCATGCCCTATTATTCCGCACAGAAAGCAAAAGCTAGGCAGTTTCTCATAGCAAAATCTGACACGGAAAGTGACTCCTTCCTCTTTTTGTAGAACCAATTTCCTTTTCAAAGGTTTCCCCAAGTCAATACAAACACGAATCCTCATAAAGGATTCCCAATTCTCAGAAAAATTATTATCATCAACTTTTATAAAAGTTCCTAAAAAATTCCCAATACGTTCCGCATTCTCAATAGTAAAATATCCTACTGGGATATCATGAACTTGAACCCAAAAATCCGCTTTATTGAGTGTAACAGACATGGGAATATCTCCCTCTTTAAGCCTACTCATAACAATTAGGTTCTGATCAAAAAGCCACGGACCTTCCTCAACAACCTTAATGACATCCTCCTCATTATAGAACTGAAATACATACCGTCTAGGACCAATTTCAGTTATAGAAACACCATTTTCCGGCTTCCACACAGACGCCATAATATCTCTAAATTGAGAAAAACGTACTGACTTTTCCGATGTAATGGTCCCCACCATAGTCAGATTGTGTTTTGCTACGGATTGTGCCATAGGTGCGACCATGAGGACCTCGTCCTCTTCCTCCAGATCCAACATTTCATAGGCGTTGGCCAGTGCGTCCACTCCATTGGTGTTGTTCTGCTCCATTTCGTTTGCTCCTGGTGCTTCCTCACAAGAATTCTGCCAATTGCCGAAGATGGCTTCGGTTGTGGAAAATCGGGCTTAAACAATCCCCTGCCAAAGGTGCGCTTGCTCTGCCCCAAAAAAACTGGATGACTTTAGCTTTGAAAAAGCTTGCCGAAGTTGTCGAAACGATTCCTCCTAGAAAGGAAAAAAAACGTGCGAAAGCTCCTGTGGAAAACTGCGCAGACGAAAGCTGCGAAAATCGATCCCAAAAAACCCTAGCTTTCGCTAGGTCCTCTCCGCCCCTAGTGACAAGAACATTTATTCACTGTTCACCGATTTACTTAATTATCCTGTTGGAAAAATTGTCAAATAGGTTCACATATTTAATTGAACCATACTTTTTGTGTCTCATTTAATTTTGATGCAATTTTTAATAAAGTGGTTGAAAAGGTAAAAAATGTGATTGACACTTGAGTCTAATAAAGTGAAATTTTGTGAACCACATATTTATTTCCAAAAAAGAAATGAAGCACTTATTTTGAAACAACTTGAAAAGAAAAGTAAGATAGGTAAAATAGGACGAAGGGAGTAATAGAATGTCAATAGTTTATCCGGTTAACCGCCTAAGTTGACATCCATTTGGCAATTTTTTTTTTTTTTTCTATTTTTTTCTTTTTCTTCTTTCTTTTCTCTGTTCCTTTTCTCTCTTTTTTCTTTTTTCTTGGCCCGCTCCTCTTCTGCGTCTGCAACTACAAATCTATGGAGGTGGTGGCGGCGGCTATGGAGATCGGGTGTTTGGAGGTCGTTTCATTTAAGAGGCGGAGTTGGGGACCGTGGAGGTGGAAGTCGGAAGCTGTGGGTACGGTGGTAAGGGAGACGACTATGGAAGTCGGCGCGGCTGAAGGTCGCTTCAATGGAGGAGGTGAAGGGGAAGACCACAGAGGGGTTGCTGGAGGCGGTGTGTATGGAGGAAGGGGTGGTTGAGGTGAATGTCGGACTCCGGAGAGGTGGTTATGGAGGCTGGAAAGCGGAGGTGGTGGCTAGAGAGGCCGGGGCGGTGGAGTTCGTTCCGGTGGGAGACAAGAAAGAAAGCAAGAAAGAAAGGAGAAGGGAGATCAAGCAGGGGACAGCCGGACCGGAAGGAGAAGAGGTGCGGACCAGGAAGAATGAAGGAAGAGAAAAGAAGAAAGAAAAAGGGAAGAGAAAAAGGAAAAAAGAAAAAGGAAAAGAAAAGTAAAAAATTGGAAAACAGTGAAACACCGCCCACATGACATATGGACTCTATTGACTTTTTGTTACTATACATTCCGTATGGGAAAACTATCAAATAGAGTACTCGAACTTTCATAAAAAGGTCAAAAAGGTCAAATAAGTCCTTATACTCTGTCCGGCCGTTGCAATTTGGGGCGGTTCCCGATGGAATTTTTTGATGATTTTTTTGAGCATCTTATTCATGAAGTCTAGTTTGCCCATACCAAATTTCAGCTAAAATTTAAATCGGTATGGCATTCAAATTAATTCTGGAAGATAACTGTGCAGTTATCTTCAAGAATTAATTTGAATGCGTTCCCGATTAAAGTTTTAGCTAAAATTTGGTATGAGTAAACTAGATTTGATGAATAAGATGCTAAAAGATTTTCATCAAAAAATTCCACCGGGAACCGACCAAAATCACGACGGTCGGACAGACCCTCCTATATAAGGACTTATTTGACTTTTTTATGAAAGTTCGAGGACCTATTTGTCGGTTTTCCTCATTCCATATTAAAAAGCTTATTTGATCGTTTTTTGATACTTCGCGAACTTGATTGACTAAAAAAGAAGGGCATGAATTCAATTGACTTTTTGTTAAAAGTACGTGAACTTATTTGACAGTTTTTCCTTTTGGTGGGAAATGGTAGTGTTTTTTTGGTAGTGTTTATATTTACAGGCTTCCCAAGCTGAAGTTATGAAATCCTGTTACAGAAATGTTGTAACCTACCTTGTTGAATCATCGAAATTCCATGTCTAGTTTCTCAGGCTCATGCAGTTGAGAATAAGAGTCTTAGAGACTTAGACCATGCTTCTGTTTTTATAATAATGTCCTTTAAAACAATCCCCTGTCAGAAACATATACCATATTATTCTTCTATTTGTGGATTAATTTTCAGGTATCTATTTTGGCCGGCACCCTTGCTCGTTTAGATAGAGATGCTCCTAGTTACATGTAGTATGTACCCTCTCTTTTTTTTTTTTTTTTTTTTACCCCGGAAGGTCAACCACCGCATCCAGTGGGGTAAATGCCGGGGAGCATTTACCATGTTTTATTAATAACGAGGATTACAAAAAAGGGGGGGACTAGGCCAAAACCCCTCCAGCAAAACAAATAAATCTGAAAAATCATAAATAAAATTAATTGGGGGGATCATACCTTACCCAATAAAAATACATCAAAAGAATTAAATTTCTCTGAAGTAACACAAACCCAACTTATCAGCAATTATCTTGCGTCTGATATGAACAGGAAGTTGTCCAGCATTATAGTAGATGACCAGATCATTAGATTTTATTTTAGACAGAAAATGAGCTGTCCAATTTATCTCACGCGGAATATGTCTGAAGGAAAGGTTCGAACCATCTCTCCACCTTCTAAGATCCTCCACCATTTTCCTCCACCGTCCATCTAATTTCCCACCTGAAACTTCATCCAACGCCTTCAAAGAATCCGTCTCCACCTCAACATTCTGATAACCTTTTCCGACCACCCAACACACCGATTGGTAAAGCGCCTGAATCTCTGCATCTAAGGCCGAAGAAGCAGACAAAGGAAAATGAAAGGCTACCACCAACTCGCCTGACCTGGATCGTAAGACCGCTCCACCAGATGCAGTATCTGACCGGAAGGAAGCATCAATATTTAGTTTGTAATTCAGATCAGGTATCTTCCATTTAATAGCTGTAACCTTTGACCTCTTTATCCGAAAAGATAAATGGAGTAGCTCTTCTTCGTAGAGTATGGCACTAGGCTTTCCTAATTTTGCTTTATTAAGCTTAATTCCTGACCAGTTTCGAGAAAAAGATTTGATTTGCCTAATTACCATCTGCCAATTTGATATTCCTTCCTCCCCTCCCCAAATAATCCGACAGTAAATCTTCCAAATATGCCAAGATATAATTCCAGCCATATTATGCTTAAAAACATCAATAAGGCTTCTATTCCCAGCTTCCAGCCACCACGCAATGAGCATCTGTCTCATAGAAATTGAATTAGTAGGAATGGATATTTCAAAAACTCCAAGAAAATATGCCCAGATTTTCCAACTAAAAGTACAGTTAAGCAACACATGATCCATATAAGCCGAATCCTGCTTACAAAAGGGACACCTGGAAGGGAAAACAGCAATGTTGAACCTAGTCAGATTATCTGGAAATGGAAGAATTCTATTAAGAATCTTCCATTGAAATATTTGTACTTGACTTTGCTGATATTTATTCCAGGTATGCTTGAAGGAGAATATAGAGTTCTTGGCTCTTCTCACACTCTGAAAAGCTGAGGATAAGGTAAATCTGCCATCATTTTCAGGTAACCACACTAATTCCCCATCCTGATTGCAAGTACTAAGAAGCTGACCCAACTCATTTGTTCTACAAATTCTTTTCCACACTCCTGAGTCAGCTTGTTTAGGAGTCATATTTGAGCCCCTAGAATATCTATCATTACAAAAAGTAGCCCAGATAGATTTGTTACATCTCCATTTCCACCATAGCTTTAGAGAATAAGCTTTCTCTATATCTATAAGCGACCTTATATTCAAACCACCTTCATCATAAGGCAAACAAATATCCTTCCATCTAATCCAATGAAATTTATTTTTGTTAGCATTGGACCCCCACAAAAAATGAGACATCTTTTTTTCCAAGCATCTACTGACAGCCTTGGGAAGAGTATCTACAGCCAGAATGTGTAAAGGGATAGTATTGAGGACATACTTAATAAGCACAAGCCTGCCTCCAAAGCTTAGATTTCTCTGCTTCCAAATAGTTAGTTTTTTATCAAAGCTTTGAAGAATATCTTTACAGTAATTCTTTCTGTTAATTCCTTTGTGCAGGGTTGAACCTAGATACTTCATTGGCAAATTAATCTTGGTCATACCCAGTAATCTCTCCATCTTCCTAATTCTTGCAAGGGAGGTTTTACCACATCCAAAATTGCTCTTATCAAAATTAATTGCTTGCCCAGATGCCCTTTGATAAAGCCCCAAAAACTGTTTGAAGTTCTGAATAGATCTAGCTTCCCCATTTAGAAAGACTAAAATATCATCTGCATAACAAAGATGGCTAACAGGCTGTCCAGCTGGACCAATATAATATGGCTTTATTTTCCTCTCTGCATTAAGATTTTTCAAACCCCTTGAGAGGGCTTCTGTGGCCAAAATAAAGAGAAAGGGTGAAAGGGGATCTCCCTGTTTTACCCCTCTAAGAGGCCTGAAGAAACCTTTTGGAGAGCCATTAATGAGGACAGAAAAATGTGTAGCCCTTAAGTGATTGAGAACCAAATCAACAAAATTCCCAGCAAATCCAAATTTGGACAAAATTGCTCTTAAGAAAGTCCATGATAGCCTGTCAAACGCTTTAGCCATATCGAGTTTAACAACTATATTGGTTCCCCTTGTCTTTCTGTCAATTGAATTAATCATCTCCTGTGCCACCAAAATATGATCAGATATGTCCCTACCCTTCATAAAACCTGCTTGCTCAACAGAGATCAATTTAGGCAGTATGAGAATTAGCCTAGTAGCCAAAATTTTTGTGCAAACTTTACTGATAAAATTAGAAAGACTGATAGGCCTGAAATCTGAAAATGTTGTTATCTTGTCTTTCTTAGGAATGAGTACAATAAGAGAGCTGGCCATTGCAGTAGGAATGATATTACCCAAGAAAAAATCTTGAATAGCCCTTACTACATCATCACCTACAATTCCCCAACAGTGTCTAAAAAATACTCCATTGTAACCATCGGGTCCCGCTGCACTGTCTTTATCTAATCCCCATACTGCAAGCTTAACTTCTTCATGATTAGGCAAAATCATTAACTTCTCATTATCATTTATATCAACTAACTGTGGAATATAGTGCAGGATATTGTCCACCTCTTGAACCTCTTCCTCAGAAAAGATATTTTGAAAGTATTCCTCAGCAGCTTTGCCAATAGCTTCAGAGTCAGTACACCAGTTCCCAGCATTGTCTTTTATGGCAGATAAGAATTGCATCCTTCTCTTGATATTCACATAGTCATGATAGAACTTAGTGTTAGAATCTCCTTCTTTTAACCATTTAAGGTGTGCCCTTTGCCTCCAGAATTCATTCTCTTGCTTATGCTTAGAAAGAAGAAGGGCCTGCTTGAAAGACCAATCCTCTCTATGTGCATCAGTAGGATTAGCCTCAAATAAAACCTCTGCATCAGTGACTTCAGCTTCTAACTTCTTAATATCCTGAAAAATATCCCCAAAAGTGTTTTTATTCCATATCTTCAAGGCCCTTTTGAGACTTTGTAGCTTATTATAGAGACCCCTCATACCCCCTCCTGTAGCACAAGCTTCCCACTCTTTCCTCACGACATCTAAGAAAGTGGGATGTGAAATCCACATATTTTGAAATTTAAAGGGTTTTGGGCCAATCATTAATTGATTTTTACATTGCAACAGGATTGGAGAGTGATCTGAGGATGTCTTATTGAGGTGGTTAATCTGGATGGAATCATAAAGCCCCAAGAATGCAGAATTAAACAAGACTCTATCCAATCTACGCCACACTCTTCCATTGGCTCTAACCCCTGACCAGGTAAATGGAGATCCAATAAAAGGTAAATCAATCAGATCACTATTAACCATACAGTCCTTGAATTCATTCATACTGCTCGCAAGAGGGATATTGTAACCTTTATGCTCTCCCTGATAAGCTATAGCATTGAAATCACCACCAACAAACCAGGGATCATTATTGTTCCCAGCCCATTTTTCCATAAATTGCCATAGATCTCTTCTTTCAATATGACTGTGACTTCCATAAATTGAAGTAAACCAGAAGGAATAATCTCCACTATGAATTTTCATATGAATAAACTGACCTCCAGTAGAAATATCAGAAATATCTACCTTTGATTTATCCCAAAACAACCAAATTTTATTCTTAGAACAGCAGAAAGCAGACTTTAATCCAATCTGATTAGCAATGTCATCAATTTTATTAGAAAAAACAATGGGTTCAATAGCAACGAAAAGATGAATACTCCACTGTCTAATTAAGTCCCGTAGTCTTGGACAGGAAGAAACAAGACCACGGACATTCCAAAGTAGACAATTCATCATGGAATGGCAGAAAAAGCTATAGCCAGCTTTTTTGCTGCATTCCTAGTAATTCTAGGAGTGTCTGGAACCACCTGAGTTGGCTTCTTTTTCTTTTTCCTTGCAACTGTAATAAAACCATCTTGTTGATTAAGAGCCACTGTTGACAGGTTTGCTACTAACTCTGAATCAGTCTGCATAGAAGGATTCATTTGCAGAAGAGCATTCACTTTTGAGGTGAGCAGCTTCTGCCCCTTCTTCCAACCCTGAATATTATCAATAAAAGCTCCATCTCCATCCGATGAGTACCCCTTTGCAGATACTGTTGGATCATACTCATTTTGCTTATTTATTTGCAAAATTTTGAAATCATCTGATGCCCTATCAGTTTGATATATTTCAGAGGGAGGAATTCCTTCAATGAGGGACCCGTGTTTGTGAAATGATGGCAACTCAAAGTCCGCGTGCTGTGAAGCCCCAGGAGGATCCAAGATTTCAGTGTATACCTCTTCCACCTCTTCATCAGAGTCCAACTTACCCTGTGATGTTGAAGGAATATCTGTTACTTCAACTTGCTGAATCACTGGCTGAGACTCCATCGCAATCCTTTTTCCTTTATCAATAGGAGCTATGTTTTCAGATTGTGTAATAGGCTGTTTCAAAGTCCCAACCCCTGTCGCCCCGTCTGTAATAATAATAGGATTAGTTTTGGTCTTGATAACCCACTGCCCAGAGCCTCCCGATTTGAAAGAGATTGGGCCAGAATCAATAGCATTCCCAATCTCTTTAGAATCAATCTTCAATTTAGATGTATCATTCCCAGATTTCCTAGGGCATGTATGAATTGAATGACCAAGATGAAGGCAATGATCACAATATAATGGTCTACTTTCATAGACCACAGACTGGAAAAACCCTTTGGATCCATTTTGAATCCAAATTTTATTAGGCATATCCTGAGATATATCCACCTCAACACACACTCTAGCCAAAGAAGGTCTTGAAAAAGATGCAGTAGCAGCATCAATTTTGACAGGCCTCCCAATTAATCTTGCTATGTCAAAAAGCGCTCTCTGATCGTGTAAATGAAGAGGCAAAAATTCCAGACTTAACCAAATAGGAACAACTGGAGATTCCACATTAGGTTGAAAATCCGGTGTCCATTTTGTTACTCGCATAGCATTGCCAAAAATATCCCAGATCTGTCTGTTCCAACATCGGAGGTAATCATCCTCCAATTCAAACCTAATAATCAAATGTTTCTTATCTAGGATACCCAACTGAAATTTCCCTTTGAATCCAATCAAATCAAAGGCTTTTCGTAGTGTAACCATAGATGGGCGCCCCTTAAAGAAATATCCAACCAAGGCCATCCGATGTCTCCCCGCCAGAATGTTAACATCTTCTTCTGGAAATACAATCGAAGGCACCCCTTTGTAACGCGATGATACTTTCTTCGCCAAAGGAGGATCAGATCGATCCCCAGACACCACCGCAGCAAAAGATCGACCTCCCCAGCCCTTGACCGCCGGCAGAGAGGGAGGAGAGACTCCCCCCGAGATAGGCTTCTCCGTCATTCACAATCTCCAAATCGCCAGAGCCCTACTTCTTTTAATCGCTAAGTTTAGTTAATCTTTAATTCCCTTTTGTCCGTCCCTCAGTATGTACCCTCTCTTTTGAAGCTCTATATTCTATTTTAGGTTGATGATTTTTTGGGTAGGTGTTTGTTTACGGGGGCGTAGCTAGGGGCAAGAGCTTCCTGAACTCTTTGTAGAGGACCGGTTCAAAGATTTTTTTAGATAAATTATTACATATAAAACACAAGTTCCTCTTTTTCAAATTTGGGGTGGGCAGATCCTTACTAGGCCTTCCCCTAACTACACCCCTTTTATGTACATCTAAATATGACATTGTGCGCACCACCACCACCATCAACACCTCAATTCCAACTTATAGGGTCAATTAATGATTTAATTTAGTTAATGTTTTAAATTCATGCAATAAGCACAGTAATGAAATTTTACAGTGGATGCCCTTGTTGCCACAATCTTCTTCTTATGAACTAAAAACGAGATCGAATTTTGAAACTCTAATAATAAGTTTTCCACTTCATTAAAAAGATTATGACATGAAGATGAGTTGAAATAGTTGCTATAGTCATGTCCAATCCAAAATATATACTACAAAATTTAGCAGTCTTTGATATATTTATAAATTTATTTTTGATAGTTATATGTTTCAGTATAAAACACTACTTTCCATCAAGAGATCAAAAAGAAAAAAAGCAAATTACCATTATGGAATTGCCCGGATTCATAAATTTGAAGTTTCCATTACGTTTTCACGTTTCTGAAGTGACTAAAGGGAGATCTGCTTGGTTTCCTTGCTGCTTTGCTTACGCCTCAGTAGCATATTGTGCAAGCCTTGGTATTTCTGGAATTGGTTTAGCCTCATTCATACCATCTCCTGAAAACTACTGCCTCATTGCAAAATTACGAACACAGATTAAGATTTAACATGGATTTAAATGGTTTTTGTAGTTTATGCTTGAGCTTTTTAAATATTTAATATGGAGTACTATTGATTATACATATGTCATTAGGAACTAGGAAGCGAACTTCAAATGGCCTATTTTATACGGAGTATATATCTATGATCTATGGTGTAAACTTTCCACACATGTTGCATTTTTATGATGATTTGTGTTTGGGGCGCAGTAATGGCTACAATGACTTCAATACATTCTACATACAAGTAAGCTTCACAATCTTAGAACCTTTTCATGGGCTCTAAATAGTTATAAGTTGTTTCACCTACCAGATACTCTTTTTATGACTTAATCTTCTCTTTTGTTACTTACACCACAGGCTGCATCTGGGACTAAAGGTGGTTCAAGTGGATCTCCAGTAGTTGACTGGCAGGGCAGAGCAGTTGCTTTAAATGCAGGGGGCAATACATCAGGCGCCTCTGCCTTTTTCCTTCCGTTAGACCGAGTAAGATAATATTATAGTTCGTAGTATTTATAGAAGTATCTAGCTTAATCTATGCTTAAGATAAGTGACAAAAAATTGTAGTTTTATGATTGCATATTCTTTCAGATTTGTAGCAATGGACTGATTAAAATACACTTTTAGTTTGCACTTCAATTTTCTGCTGTCATGCAATGAATTCAAATTCAATCTCTTTTACCCTTTTTTGGATTGAAGATTTTGATTTTTAATTACATTTCTTGAAAGTGCTCAATGAGTATGATTTTCATTTGGATTAGGTTGTCAGGGCTTTAGTTTTCTTACAACAAGGAAGAGATTCTACACACAAATGGGAGGCAGTATCTATTCCTCGTGGCACGCTTCAGGTCTGTAAAGATTTATCCTTCTAAAGCTTTTGTAATATTTATTCTTTGTATTTAGTTAGACTGAGAAGTGAGGTACTGTGGTTAGAGTATGATTGACTGGATGTCAATCTAAATCATTTTTCTTTCTCAAAGTTTAAACAATTTTATCCCGGGTCATTTACTTCATTTTGAGATGCGATACTTCATATTCATTAGTCATTGTTCACATTGTTTCACGATATTGCATATATGAAATTTCGTGTTCACATATCTATTAACAAAACTGGAAGTTAATGAGTCACATTTTTCTTTACAATAAAACATATCCATTAATAATACTGAAGGTTATTAAGTCATTAATGTTCTATGCAGTTTTTTGTTTATAAAATTCTAAATGAAATTCACAACTAGCACATTGGAAAAAACCTTCTTTCTTTCATAGTTTTTACTTCAAAGGGCACTAGCATCTGCATTCCATTTCTTTTCCATTTCAACGAAACTCTTCATTTCTCCCACTTTCCCCCCTGTCTAGTAATGGTAAAAATTCACGGTTGGAAATGTGTTGTATAGGTTACATTTGTCCACAAAGGATTTGATGAGACCCGTCGTCTTGGGGTTCAAAGTGAAACAGAACAGGTATATGGAACCGATGGTTTATGTATTTTTATGCACCTCTAATTAATAATAACAAAAACACTAATATCATGGCTCTTAAAAATTAGTTGGTACGAAGCTCATCTCGTCCAGGGGAAACTGGAATGCTTGTTGTTGATTCCGTGGTATGTCATCTTGGTGCTTTTGTAAGACGTATCTTATTTCTTGTATATTCCTGTTTTATTAGAAATCTTGATTTGTTTCAGGTGCCTTGTGGCCCAGCTTATAATCATCACTTAAAGCCCGGTGATGTGCTTGTTTGTATGCATGGGAAGGTTAGTGTTAGCATTTAACCTGTCAAACATATGAATTGTGCTAAGTGTTCCATATACAACAACAACAACATCCAAGCCTTAGTCCCAAACGATATTGGGGTCGGCTAACATGAATCCATATGATGTGTTAAAATTCTAACCCTAACTGTATTGGGCTTTACCCGCTATGCTAACCCTTATTGTAGTTTACACTTCCTTTTGATACATGAATAAAGACGTTCTTTACTTTCACATAGTATTTTTTTTTTTTGAGGGAAACTTTCACATAGTATCAGAACCAATATTAGCAAATATTAGTCATCAATTTCTCACTTCTGGCGTAATTATTAATTTTTGGCTGAATAGTTGCCACTGTTGATGATGGAGTACTTCAGGCAGTGATCTGACCAATCTCAGTCTACTGTTGTTCTCATTTGGGCTTCGCGACCCACCGGTAGGAGTTTGACAACTCTTGCATCGTGCATGTACTACCAAAGACTACTACACCAAGCATGAGGTTTTTGTTACACCTATCCCTTTCGCTCATCTATCGTCGTGACCTTCAAATTTGGTATCAAAGCTCCCGCCGCTAATCATGTCACACCTCACCTACTTGTGTCTTCATTTATGGTGTTTACTCCACAAAAAAACTCCAATAAAAACATAGTCAATTTTCCTCCATATCTGGTTGTGCTTTTACCTATGAGTGGCATTTTAAACCGAAATAATGAAAATGGAACTATAAATTTGTTTCAATACGGTTCTTGAAGGTAAAAAGTCAGTTCAAACCGAACTAAACCGCTTTTTTTTATTAATTACTAATATATATATATATATATATATATATATATATATATATATATATTAATTATTTCTAGAGCTATTTTAATACTGGAAAGTATCATGCAAAAAAGTTAAATACTTTTACATTTTTCTAACTAAAATGAAGTTGAAAAACCACACATGTTATATGTAATTATTTAAAAAATATGTTCTGAGATGTTGATTGTACTGCTTATAATAATAATGTAATAATATAATTAATTATAATACAATTAGTAATAATACAATAGCACTACTAATGAAGATACTACTCCGTATAATAATAGTAATAATTATTAACTATCATTGTAAAGTTAACTGATTTATATTGACGAATGGAAATCCAATAATTAAACAATACCAGATTTTATAACTGATGTTTTAGGTCAATGAGTAAATCCACTTATTTGAGTTCTGTTTCGTGATTCAATCTCTACTTGAAAAACTATAAATAAAATAATAGGTAAATGACGATGAAGATGATGATGATAATAATAATAACAAAAACTAAAAACAACAACAAAAACAATATCTATAATTGTAATAATAGAATAATAACTGTACTAATAGTACTAATATGTAAAATTCATCATGGAGTATAATAATATCTGAATAACTTGAACATGTCATCACTTTTTCTTGTGGCTTGCTCGAAGCAAACCCTCTCCTTGCATTCCACCAGAGTTCAATTTCCCAAGTTGTAACATTTTTCCTTGTGAAGCTAGATTGCTCCAGTAGGCATGGTTTCCTAGAGCGTCTCGCCTCGAGCAGGCTGGTAGCCCGTAGCCCAGAGCAGCTGTCTCTTTTAAGTAAAAATTACTGATGGATAACCAAATTTTAGGTAAAACTGAACCGAAAAGTTGGTTACTGAAGAATCGGATCCCGATTGAAATTGGTTCGGTTTTGGTTTTATGAAATCTAGAAATCGAAACATCAATCCAGTTCGTCATATTGTTGCTTCGGTTACCGAACCAAACCGAACCGAACCCTACTTTTACCAACTGAATTTGAAGAGTGCCAAAAGTTCGAGGCATCAATTATTTCAAGAATCACGAGGTGTGTCGCAGCCTGTGTTTCACACTTCTAGTTTGTGGATACTTGACTAAGGAGCTTCCGATAATATCTCCGGTAATAACTAGGTTTTATCTAATCTAACTAAACCTCATGATTTACCACATTCATCCTTGCCAATACACATCAAACCCAACCATAATCATAGATCAGTCTCTTTCCGAGCCATCCTTACCCTTGGAAGATATCTTATTATTTTCTTAATAGCCCATTTAATATTGTGTCTATTAGCAAAGTTACTTTCTCAATCAATAGTTCTATAACATTTTCCGCTGATTCTTTGGTTCTGTAGGACTGCTGTACGAAGAAAGTGATTAGTGTTGAGTGTCACTCTTAGGGCCTCTATTATCTTCATTCTGATCTGGTTGTTCGGGTCAGTTGTGTGTATGCTAAGTCAGCAATTATCTTACACAACTTCTTAGGTGATCCGATTGTCTGAAAACTTGGAAGAGTGTTCCCAAGATTGTAAGTAGTGTCATCCTGGAAAGACACCCTGCCAATCACACTTGAGAGTCATTAATAGGGATATATCACCTTTTGATTTAGTTCAAAGTTCAAACTGATGTTTGGGTCTGTATAATGGAAATCTACCTTGTGTTTCCATTATCTTGTTGTCTTTATAGATGAGTATTCACGTACACGTGGTTATTCTTAATGAAAGAACAATTTGAGCTATTCCAAATCTTTCAAATATTTTGTGCAGAATTTCTGTCACAATTTGATCGTCCATCAAACATTTGTGGATAGTCCATCATTTGCAATGGAGCCAAAGATTCATTATTTTTTGGCTTGAGAATAAGATGGAATAAAGCAAAATGGCTTACTAAACTGTCTGCGCTTCTTTGTTATGAAGCAGCAGTCACTCCATGCAATTTTGGACGCGATTTTCACTATGGGTCATCCGGAAACAGTCTCTATGTTCTTTAGTACAGGGGTAAGACTGTGTACATCCGACCCCCCTTATCCCACCGTAGGTGGGAGCCTTTGCGGCACTGGGGTAAATGAAAATGATGAAAAATGATGATGATCAAACATTTGTGGATGATGATAATAATTAAGAATTATTTTTAACACCCAGTAATCAATTGTTCTGTTAATTTCAAATTTCAAGCTACATTTCATAAGACCGTTGTTGTCGTTATTTATGTTCATGTGGTGGCCATGAGATTTTATGATTTGTTTTTTTAATCCCAATATCATTCTCCAAGGAACATCTGTTGCAGGTGATTACACATTTCCTCGAGATGGAAACTCTACTTGATGACAGTGTTGGACAGAATGTCGAACTTAAAATTGAAAGAGCTGGTGCCTCATTGATTGTTGAATTAGTGGTGAGTTTGTGATTCAGATGGTGATCACCAAGCTTTTATTCTAGTCATTAGCTAATCCATGCATCATATAATAGACGATGCATATTTTTGGACAGTTCTGTGTAACTTCTTTGTGTATGTAAACATTAGTAAGTTTTGGTTGACGAGTTATATTATGCTATGCCAGTCCAGAATGAGGGAGTAATTGACTTGCGTGGTTAATTTCAGGTCCAGAATTTGCACTCAATAACTCCCGACTGCTTCTTGGAAGTTAGTGGTGCAGTGATACACTCCCTTTCATATCAACAGGTTTTTAATATTTTTCACCTCTTATAAAAATATAAAGATTTTATGTCATCCCAAGAAAAGGTAGAGTACAAGACAGGTGAAGTGTTTAATTTGTTTTAATTCAATCTTGGAACATGTAAATGTTCTGGCTAGGAAGTGTTGAAGAAACCTTAGATCTTAAAAGTTATAACCTTATTGTTGCTCAAGCCTGCTGTGAGGCTCTTCATTCTTCTAAGGATGTCTTTCATGCACTCAATGTATCCCATTACATATCAAATGCATACAACTTATTATGTATTTGTTGTTATATATTCCTGTGAAAAGTATGATGATATTGATTTTTCTTAATATCAAAATGCTATACAAGTAGTTATTTTGATAGCTATATTAGATTACTAGAGTTCCTGCACGAAATGAGCTAAGCCCAATACAACTAGGGATTCCACACTCTCCCTCAAGCTAGCGCATAGAAATCATATACACCTGAGTCAATGATCCATGAGCCTGGGGTGTTTGAAACACAAGTGGTAGATGTACCAGGTGTAGATAAAGTATATTACTCGACTTAAATTTCTGATATGCTGCATATTCAGCAAGATGTAGAACAACCAGAGATGGCGAGATCTAAGCAACATCGGCTTAGCTCGAAGGTTTCCCATGTAACTTCCAGCACATGTCTTTAGTATGACCAATTTAATGATAGAAGTCACACTTAGGATGATTTCGCCGTATAGAAGTCACACTTAGGACGATTTCGCCGTGGGTATCCTTTTTATTTCCTCCGTCAGGACCCAGACCTTGGGGTGCAAGAATGATAGAGTGACTAGAACCACATTTAGCAGATATCAGGGCCACTCGAAGAATTCGGGCAAAAGCCTCTGTCATACTAGGAGTCTAGGAATAGTTGAACTAGAGAGAATTTGCTCACGTATTGATAACATCTCTGGATGAAGATCTGCTAAGGCTAAAATCATAACAAGTTGTTGTCGTTGTTCTAGTTATTTCTCTATCGTCTGTGACTGGTCGAATTCTATTATATTCAAAGAGTAAAGCCTCACCACATCCTAGTAAAACTTGAATTTCCAAGTCTCGTTGTTTGAACGTGGCAATTTCGGAGCCGAATGAAGACAGATTTTGAATATCATTAGTGTGATTGGACTTTGCTTTTTTCCAAATCTGTTTACACGTCCGATATGATTGGTATGCAAGATGAAATTTTGAAATCATGGATAGCCACAAAATGTTGCACTACAATGCATTCATAGCCCCCCAATCGGTCCTCTTTCATTTGACACAATTTGTATCCGTAATCAAGTGATCGATTTTACCTTGTCCTTTGAACCACATCTCCACGGGAATAGCCCATAATTGATGATTAGCGCTTCCATCCAGACGATTGGAATCGAAGCAAACAAAGAAAAACCTACAGACGTTTTATTTATTTATGTGTTTTTGGGTTTCTGTTTTTTTATTCTTTTTTTTTAAGAAAGAAAAGAGATTACTATGTGACTAAAATGCAGTTGCAATCTTAAGTCTTTAAAGGAGTGCAGCAGTAGATAATTCCCCAATAGGCAGAAGCAGAATAGCAGTAGTGGAACAAACTAGGTCCCACTAGAGGATGAACAGGAGTAGCGACACAGGGGTTGCCTCCATCTTCTTGGGAACAGCAAAGGCGCGTGGGTCAAAGGAGTGCCAGTTTATATGGTTTTGGTCGTCGAAGCCCATGATCTTATATTGTTGGCGGTGTCAATGCTCAATGAGTAGAAAGAGAGATCTGCGAAGGTGTGGAACTGCAATAGCGCACTTCGACGGCGCTTGGCAGGTGCATCAGCGGTGATTCTTCAGGCGGTAGGTTGCGGTGATGAACTGAGTACATTGGTAGGCTTATATCATCGCCGAATTTCTGACAGTCGCGATCACTGTTCGCATCGGAATTTCTGACCGGGAATTTACGCCAGTAGAAAGATTATAACACTGTCTATATTTTCCATATTGGCTCTGATAACATGTGAAAAATATGATGATATTGATTATTCTTGATATCAAAATGCTATACAAGTAGTTGTATTTATAGCTATATTAGAGTATTAGGGTGCCTAGGGTTACCACAATTTCATATCACCTTTACGCTCATCTGGCTTTTATATTTGCTTCCCCTAGCTGGCGGTAGGTGGCCTTTCACCACTTGTTTTTTGAGGAGATGAAAATTTTAAACCGTTATGTAGTTATGTCTATTGCGATCCAAAATATTTAATACATGAAAATTTTCTGAAAAGGTTAAAAGTGTAAGTATCTGAAATATTATTCGATTGCTTGGTTGGTTTTTGTGTATGTCGATCCCCATGGTGATATTTTTGCCTTTTCCCCTATCTTTAATGCAGGCTAGAAATTTCAATCTTCAATGTGGCCTTGTCTATGTTGCAGAGTCAGGGTATGTCTTCAACTTTCACCATTTTATTTTTTTACTAAACTTAAAAAGTAATGACTTTTATGACTTTTACCTTTTCCCCTTAGTGATGTTCCTTGGATCTTAATTGATGACTTCTTTGTACTAAACAATGCATCTGGACTATAAAATCTACAGCGGTAGATCCTTTAGGAACTTTACATTATGCTAGTTTGCAATAACTGGTAACCACTTGTCTATTGCACTATTTTCAATTGCAGATATATGCTGTCTAGAGCTGGGGTTCCTAAACACTCAATCATTAAGACATTCGCAGGCAAAGTTCTTTCAAATCTTGAGGAGTTGATACTTGTCCTATCTAACTTGACTAGGGGCTCAAGAGTACCACTTGAGTACATAATCAGCACAGACCGTCACCGAATACAAGTACCTCTTGTGACATTTAGATTCTATTAAGTATTAACAATAACTTATCTTGCCTCTGCGTGACCACTACCTCTAAATCATATTGCCTGACTTGGATAATCTCCATATATATTTGCAGTCTGTGTTAGTCACAGTCGACCGCCAGGAGTGGCATGCCCCTCCTCTTATTTACACTCGTGATGACGGTTCTGGATTATGGTTCACTAAGCCGGCTGTACTGCCTGACTGTGTTTTCCTTTCTGACATAGTTCCTGCCAAGCATGATTTGCTGAGTTATAGTTTGCCTCAACATGTTAGCAAAGTGTCAAACAATGGTGTTATAGATATGGAATCTAGTTATGAAATCACAGTAAAGGGACCTCAATCTCAGGACGATATTGATTCTGGTATAAAGAAAAGAATGGTAGAAGAAAATTCATCCGCTGATGGAACAGAGGCAGTTAATTTCTCAGCTGCTGAGCATGTGATTGAGCCTACTCTTGTTATGTGTGAGGTACTATTTCATTATATAGAGTGTTAATTGTTTCCGAAAATAGAAAATGAGAACCTTAAGCTGTGACATCCCAAAAATGAAAGTTAGAACCTTTGAATGGGATGGAGGGAGTAATTTTTTACTCCCTCCGTCAGGCAAAACTTGGTCATATTGGTTTTTCTTGGTTAATCATGGTCATGTTTGACCAATGATATATTTTAATATGAAATTATTTAAAATACGGGAAATATATGGAAATGTTATTTGTTAAAAAAGTTATAAATATCACACAAATATAATAACTAAAATCATTCTCTAAAGTTTTTTACCATTGACCAAGAAAAGTCAAATTGGCCAAGTTTTATGGGACGGATGGAGTATTATTCTTTGAGGCCATGGAGGTGTATGCTACCTTGACTTGATTTTCAACGTTGGATGTATATGTATCTCGCATGGCTGCATGTGTATATTTTAGTATATAAATTGAAAGATCCATTGGAGCTATTATTTAGCCTTCTACATTGACATGCCTGACTCACAAAGAGACAAAGCGACATATATGTTGTTCCTGAGTTCCTCTAATGGCTGATTTTTTTCTCCATTTCTATTTACCAATTACACATTCATATAGATGAATGGTACTTCCTATTTTCTCCACCGTTCTTCCATTACAAACCCAGAACGGACAATTACGTTGGATTGGAAAAATGTTACTAGGTTACTGTTCGGTCATGTGAGCATATCTAATGTATATTTGTGTATTAGTAGGATTTTAATGTATCTATTCTATTATTATTTTTGTGCTTTGTAATAATTTGATATAGATATTAAATAATTGTATCATGTTTGGTGTTGTTTTGTGCTTCACAATGTGATCTTTATTTGTCTGATAGGGTTTCCATCTGGAAAATATATTCATGTTATTTTACTATTCACTTAATACTTAAATAGTTTGTAAATTATTTTGAAAGTACTTTTTGCAATCATATAATCGAGTAGTACTTAATTTAATTACTCCGTCTGTCACGAAACTATTGCCCACTTCGACTGGGCATCAGATTTGGGAAATTGAAAACTCTGTAGTTGAGATCTATTTAGAAGAGCGAGAAATAATGTGAACGAAATACTGTAGTTCAGATATGTAAAGTTTAATTTCATTAGAACTGAAAAGATTATGGGCCTAAGTAATTTCGTTGTAGTTGATTGTTGGTTTTTATGTTCACAACTTTTGTCCATTTTATTTCTTTTCATACTCTGTATGGTGTCAAAATTGTAGGTTCATGTTCCAGGATCATGTATGCTGGAGACTGTCCACAAACTACAATCTTTTGGTACTGGAGTGATTGTATACCACTCACAAAGCATGGGTCTGGTTGCTGTAGATAAGAACACTGTTGTAGTATCACTTTGCGATGTCATTCTGTCATTTGCTGCTTTTCCTATTGAAATACCTGGGGAGGTTAGCTTTTTATTCATGCTGAGTTTCGGGTTGTGAAACTTAAAATGTTTGTTTTGAAGCAAAACTCGTTCTTCTTAACAGGTAGTCTTCTTTGATCCTGTCTACAATTTTGCTCTTGTTGCATATGACCCTTCTGCACTTGGACCTGGTGGTTACTCTGCAGTTCATGCCGTTGAGCTTCTCCCTGGTAATAAAACTTTTTGCTCTTATTCAGGGTATATGTGCATGACATACTTTTCATTATGGTTTTCTATTCCAACTCGGGAAAGCTAACTTGCATACTTTGAATTATTTTTTATGCGCATATGTTTAGGAGCAGTGATGAAAATGTTTTGGCTCTACTTTTGGATATACCCTTTTACTAGAAATTAAGAAAAAGATTCATCTCAAGCCTTTTGATCTTGGCCTCGTTTATTTAAAGAAAGCATCTCAATGTTTGCTTGAGAAAAAGAATAAAGCGAAAGTGAATGTTGTCAAACTGGATATGATTTCATTGCAAATCATATTGTACAGGGTTATATGACAGTGTTGCCATTCTATATAATGCTAATTAACTTCTCATTGGCTGTGAATAGAGCCCCTGCTTCGTCGTGGTGATTCAGTGTCACTTGTGGGATTAAGCACAAGCATGCAGGCAATCTCTAGGAAATCAATTGTTACAAATCCTTATGCCGCTCTGAATATTGAATCAACCGATTGTCCACAATATAGAGCGATAAACATGGAAGTTATTGAGCTTGACACTGGTATGTTGGATTCTCCAGTCTTTACTATCTTAGTCATCATGATTTGATGTTTTTCATTGTTTTCTGGAGGCGTTCTTCTTAATCTTCATAAAATGTACATGGTGTTATTGTCTTGCAATTTCAGATTTTGGTAATACATTTAATGGCGTGCTAACTGATGAGCGTGGAAGAGTTCAAGCCTTATGGGGAAGCTTTTCATACCAGGTCGGCATTCATAACTATCTACTAGAAGGCTTTTAAAATTTAAGATGGTGTATGCTCTTTCTGATAGCTTTTCACATGCTTTTCTTCATATAAAAAATGCTCATTTTCATAAATTCTCACGTGCTTCTCTCCATTTAAGCAAGTCTTGATGGGTGTATTTGTATTTCCAGCGGAAGCATTCTTCTGGTACGGTTACAAATTATCAAGATGTTCATGGAATTCCAATATATGCCATAAGTCGAGTTCTTGAAAAAATTATTTCTGGTGCCAATGGACCTTTTCGCCTTATAAATGGTGTCAGAAGGCCTTTGCCACTAATGAGAATATTAGAAGTTGAACTTTATCCTACATTACTTTCCAAGGCCCGCGTTTTTGGATTAAGCGACACTTGGATCCAGGTGAGCTACTTTAGGAATGCTTATTTCCTCATGCGCTCTTTTCATTACTTTATTCTTGTAATAGGGTTCTAGATTATTGGTTTTCAACCTACCCCATTAGTTTTTTATCTAGGAAAGTACCACCATGGGTGTAGGTAGAAAATGTATATTTTTGAGGAGCTTATGTAAGGATGTGTAGATTGAAGAAAATCATTATGGTGGTTTGAAGTTCCAACGACGGTATACAATGAAGTATTCTGCATGTTGATCTGTTTGGAAAATTGCTACATGTTTCCCAACTTTTAATAAATAAATTGAAACATTAATAATACCGATATAGATAAATTACAGTTTGACCATAGTAGCACTACCATGTTTTTGAGTATCAGGCCCTTGTGAAAAAAGACTCTACTAGACGACGGGCTTTAAAGGTCAAAAGTTGTTTTGCTGGCTCAAGTGCTGAAAAATTACTAGAACAAGGTGACATATTATTGGCCATCAACAAGGAGCCAGTTACTTGCTTTCGTGACATTGAAGATGCTTGCCAAGCATTATATAGTGGTGATGGCAAACTGTGCATTACCATATTTCGTCAGGTGCATACTGTGACATTTGTCACACTTGTATTATTTGTGTGGTCACATTTGTATGAGGGTTTGTTTCTTATAAGTTGATAATAAATGTCTGTCAGGGGGCTGAAATGGAACTACTTGTTGGAACAGATATGAGGGATGGTAATGGAACCACACATGCAATAAATTGGTGTGGGTGTACTGTCCAATATCCTCACTCTTCTGTCCGCGCACTTGGATTTCTTCCCAACGAAGGCCACGGTGTATATGTGACAACGTTAGTATTTTAATTTTTTCTATGCTTGTTTCATCTTCGAATTTCATGACATCCAAACACTGGGTATATTCTAACAGAAATAGAAATCATATCATTGTTACAAAAAAAAACTAGCTGAAATGACCATGGAAATTTAGGATTCGAGAAAATGAATAGTTAAGCTTAAGGGCCTGTTCTCGGAACTAAAAGCTGTAAAATAGCTAAAAGCTGAAGAGTATGTAGGTACTTGTTGGGTTGTTGGAAGTGTTTGGTAAAGTTACAGGTTATTATTCTGATGATTGTAAAAGGATCTAACCTTAGCCTGATACTGGTTAAAGAATGATAATGGATGGTATTTTATAATAGAATAAGGCTACTAGTGAGAACAAATAAAAAGTGAGCTTGTATTTGAAATGCTTTAGGATATACTTTTGACATACGAACTTCTATTAGTCTCTTATTCTATTTATTACCAAAGAACATCATTTGGAGCTCTAAGTAAATTAAAAGCTCCAAATGAAGTTCTATCAAATGCAAACTAAAACTAGATGAATCATTAGCTTATGTGGTATCTTCAAATTTTCAGTTGGAGAAGGGGTAGCCCTGCACATCGGTATGGTTTGTATTCTCTTCGGTGGATTGTTGAAATAAATGGAAAATCAACTCCTAATTTGGATGCTTTTATTGGGATTATTAAGGTGTGCCATTACTTCTTCAATTATTTTAAGCATTAATACTTGATTGGGTCCCTTGAATATACTCGGATCATGAGTCCTTGCTAAAATAAAACTATGCACAAAAATGTGACTTGGGAATTGGCAACTTTTAGGGAGTACAATTATATTTAAATTTTACATCACAATGACTATAAATGTTACGCCTTTCATCATATTTTAGCGGTACTTAAGGGAAATCTATATACCTTAGTGCATGACAAATTGAGTCCAAAAAAGAGAGCCAAGAACCAAATTAAGTAACTAGGCATAGTAGTGTGTACTTGAGAGAACAATGAAGAACATGCTATTAATTAATTCTAATTTTCAATAAAACAACTATCATCTAGACTAACTAATAATTGGTATGTTTTGATAATGGATGTGGTCAAATGGTCAGGGATTAGAGCATGAGGAGTTTGTTCGTGTGAGAACGGTAAAATTGAATGGCAAGGACCAAGTGCTTACATTGAAGCAAGATTTACACTACTGGCCAACATTGGACATCAGGTTTGATCCTGAAACAGGCATGTGGCGACGCAAGATCATTAAGGGGTTGGACTTTGGTTCTATGTGAAAGAGCCCCTCCCCTCACCCCAACAGAAAGAATCTTGTTTGTTGTACTGGTTTGAGGATCACTAACACCTGCCCTTTTTCACTGATTTCAGTTGCACATTGCGTGGTAGAACATTGTCCAATTAATCATTTAATGTGTACTAAATACTAGTATATGCAGTTAATATAAAATCGAAGTATTGTAAACTGTCTTATATATATTTAATATAAAGTCATAGTGCAGTAAACTTTGTTATAATGTTAAGTTGTTTCCTTTTACTTTTATATACTACGTAGTTCTTGCGTAGTATATTTTAATAGAAATGTACTCCGTATGATTCAAATTGATCTCGACATTCGATTCCTTATACTATCTTTTATTCATTATCAATATTTTATTTATACTACCCCATCCCATAAAATAGTTCTCACTTTCCTTTTGGGTCGTCCCAAATAATAGTTCTCGTTTCCCTTTTTGGAAAATTTTGTGGGTAGTGGTGGACTCGGGCGGGGTGGCCCGACCCGGAACCGGCCCGGTACTGTTGGGCCCCGCCCGACCCGGTGGCCCGGCCAGGCACCGGTCCGGGTATGCCCGGCCTGGGGGTTTTCTGGTGCGGGCTCGGGTCATGTAAATAAGGAACCGGCCGGGCCGGGCCGGCACTAGTTCGGGCCATTTTTTTCATTTTTTTTTGAAAAGCCGGGTTGGGCTAGGTATTTTGGGCAATTTGGGGTGGTTGGGGGAGGGGGGTCGGGGGTCAATTAGGAAAAGGAAAAAAAATAGAAATTGGCCCGAGGCCCGGCCCGAGCCGGCGGCAACACAGGCCGTTCCCGGGCCTTCCCCCCAAACACAAAGCCTAGGCCCGGCCCGGGCCCGAACCGGCCCGGCTCCACCCCTGTTTGTGGGGTATCATTTATTTACCTTTTTTTTACTCAACCACGATCATACATTTTCACTTTATTCATACTTTCTTAATTTCGATAAATACTTTTATGGGGTGGAAGGAGTATCCATTAGACCATTAGTCATGGACCCGGTTCGGGCCGCCCGGCCGGGGCCCGGCCCGGCCCGCCACTGTGCGGGCCCGGAACCGGCCCAGTTCTCGGGTCCGGGTCGGGCCTAGGCCCGGTGGGGGGGGGGGTCCGGGCTCGGGCCTTGTATTTGGCGAACCTGCCCGGCCGGGTCGGGCCCGGGTCCGGGCCAAAAACTGTTTTTTTTTCCCATTTTTTTGGGCTTTATTGAGTTGGGCTTGATGTTTAGGACCGGTTTGGGGGGTTTGGGGGGGGTGGGGGGTGAGGGGGGGGGGGGGGGGGGGGAAAGAAAAGAAAAAAAAAAAAAAAACTAACCGGGTGGCCCGGCCCGGCCCGGCCCGGTCCGGCCCGGAACCAGACCCGGAACTGGTGGCCACCGGTTCGGGCTCGGGCCCAACAAAACAGACCCGAGGCCCGGCCGGGCCTAGGCTCGAACCGGGCCCGAACCGGCCCGGGGCCATCCCTAGTATCCATTTTTCATTCATTATAAATTTATAATAGAGATATCGAAGTAGTTCTAGTAATAACTAATCCACTCCGTAATACATTAAACTCAACTCTTCTACTCCGTATTTTTTTAAAGAGGAATGTGCGCACGCTGCACGCATGGCTTCATTCAATTCTTTCATTCCATGGATTGAATTGGCTGGTGTAATAAATACTACTACTTGCGTCCTCGCTTGAACTTGTTAAAAAATAGCACGATTATTTAGATAATATTTAAATAAGTTAATAATTATTTTGAGTATATTTTCAAAAATAATTTTGATGTGGTCATTGATAATAATCGACATTGTTATATTTATATTATTTTTAATATTTGATTAATTTATTACGTAATATTTAAAAGTACTATACAGTTAATACTTACTTTATGCGGCAAATTATACCGTGGTGCCGATATACCATGCACATGGTATATTGGTACTAAATACGGACTTTCTTTTTTCCTAAGTCAATACATTTTCTCTCATTCTACGGGCACTACGAATCTTTTACTTTCTTTTCCCTCAAGCCCTCTAGGATTCTTTGTCTTTAGTTTTTTATTTTCTTTAATTCTTTTCCCCTCTTCACCAAAAATTAAAAATTAATTTTGATTTTACTTATCCTTATCTTTAACTAATAAAATTAAAATTGAATTAACTTTTTTCCTTTACCAATTTATTACAATCTTTTATAAATCACATTAAATAAGTACGGAGTATATTGTATTTCATAATTATATACTACTACCTCTGTCTCGGTGGACTTTGCCAAGTACAAAGTAGGTGAGAAATAAGAGTAGTAAAAACTGTGCGGTTGAGATTTGTGCAGAGGAGAGAGAAATGTGTGATGGTCCCGGATAGAGGTAAAAGTCTAGAGGGGGGGGTGAATAGACTTTTAAATCTTTTTCAACTTTATGAAGTTTTTGTAAGGAATAAATGTAATTAGATTTTGATGATGCTATAGGATTAGAAAGATAGAGTACCCCCAAATTAGATTTTATGTATTAGAATTTTCAATTGTAAATATTAGTGTAGTCGACGATCAGAGTTGCTCTGTTTTGGATCAAATCAGAAGTGCATCAGAACTGCTCGACCAGACTTGCTCTGTGAGAACTGCTCCATCAGAGTTCTCTTACCAGAAGCCCATCAGAGTTGCACCATGAGAGTTGCTGATAAGCTTGGACATCTGATAACCAATGAGAGTTACAGATCAGAGGTACTCATCAGCGGACCTATCAGAGTCAGAGTTAGAGTTCAGTCAGAGATCAGAAAGCCATCAGAACTCAACTCATCAGAAAGCCATCAGAACTCAACTCTTCAGAAAGCAATCAGAATCCAACACATCAGAAGAGCCTAATCAGAGCCCGACTAACACTTAGAAGATTTCAAGTAACATCCAACGGCTATGAATCCAACAGGTAAAAACATCCAACGGCTAGAAGACTGTGCATGAAAGGAAAGCATTTAATGCACATTAAATGAGCCTGATACGCTGAAGGATTGATTGCAAATGATTGACCAAGGAATCCGGGAAGATATATTATAAAAATAGAAACCTTCCAAAACGGCGGTCAAGTCAACAGTACGCGCATTTAATGCAGTTGTCTCCTCCTCCAACGGGCAGACAACCCCAGTATATAAGCTACTCACCGAAGAACAGGGATATAACTTTGCTACAACTTTTGCTCATCATTTTTTTCAAGCTCTCTTGAGATTCAAATTCCACAATCTTCAACAGGACAAGCTTACGTTGGGAAGACTCTAATATCCATAACCTCAAACCCCAACACACAGCAAAGTTCATCCTGTTTCTTCAACACTTCAAGAACTTCAACTACATATCTCTTGTAACGAAGCAAGTTGGAGAAAACTCTGTTTTCAGAACATCTTCTGCAAAGAAGGGCGTCCAAGTAACTGCAGTAGTGAAGTGGTGATACTTCCGGGAAGCTGAGTGAAAGGACCAGTCATCAGGAAGCAGGATTGCATCCCGGGTGACAACTAGACTTGAAGAAGGCGTGGAGAACTTCTTAAGTGCTAGGGACTAAGCTTTGTAACCGATCTACTTCAAAGCTAGTGGAACAGTGGACTAGAGGAACGAGTTGTTCCTTGAACCACTATAAAATTATCCGGTGTCATTTACTTTACTGCAATTTATATTTCTGCACTTAGGATATTAACTGTTAACTCTAAGACTTGGAATCTGTGTTCAGCAGATCTTGTTTTCAGAGTTGTCAGAAAGGCATTTGCCTTAGTGTTTCTGAGGCTACCCGGACAGATCAGAATCCGCTGCCAAGGCCAGTTCTGATATCAGAACCAGCCTTTCTCTGTCACCAGAATCAGACATTCTCTGATAAGTCATTTTGGACTTAGAGAAAGTTTGAAAAACCAATCAGTCTATTCACCCACCCCCCCTCTAGACTGATTACCATACTAAACGGGACCAACAAGTGGTATCAGAGCCTCCTTGTTCTTGTAATCTTTTAGGTTACTCTCTGAACAAAAATCCACTTGTTCTTAGCCTCTTTATTTATTTTAATGGATAATTCTCTTGCAAAGCATCTTATGTTCACAGATCAGAAATATGATGATTGGAAGATCAGAATGAAGGCACATCTGTGTGCTCTTCATGATGAAATGTGGGAAGTCTTGGAAAATGGACCCTTTATCCAGTTCATGAAGATCAATCCTGCTCACTCTATTGATAACTCTCAGCCCCAGATGATTGAGAAAGCCCGGTCAGAATGGACCAAGGAAGAGAAGAGGCAGTACAATCTAGATAATATAGCCAAGGACATCCTCTACAAGGCTATTGATGAAAGATACTTCAACAGAATCAAGAAGTGCAAAACTGCCAAAGAAATCTGGGACAAGCTAGATGAGATTGGAGCAGGAGATGAGCAAGAAAGAGATAACAAGCTGACCATTGCAATGAAGAAGTTTGATGACTTCAAACTTCTGCCAGAAGAATGCATTGCTAAGATGCATGAGAGATTGCTGATTCTCATCAGTGAGATTTCTGAGCTTGGGAAGGAGCTCACCATCAAAGAGGTCAACATGAAAATCCTCAGGGGACTGCCTTCAGCCTGGAAGATGAAGGTGATTGCAGTCCAGGAAAGCAAGAACATCAAGACCTATGCCACTGAGAAACTCATCTCTGATCTCAAGGCTTATGAGTTTGAGATGCATGAAGAGAAGGAGGAAGCTCCTGATGAAAGGACCACCACTGCTCTCACTGCCAGCACCTCAAAGGTAAGTGACTTTGACCCCTCTACATTTTTGTCTGATGAGTATATGGCTGCTTTTGCCAGGAAGTTTAAAAAGTTTATGAAGAAATGTTAGACCCCAGATTTTGTTGAACTGTTTTGATGATGCCAAAAGCTTTTGTTATCCTCCCTCTATTATAGTATTATTATAGGAGTCTTTGCTATCCTCTTCTGTAGCATCTTGCAGTTGTCTAGTACTAAGAAAATTATCTAGATGTTTCGTGCTCCTGTTATACAGTTAACAAATAAATATGACTGGAAAACCATAAAATGCAATAAGGCAATATTGTATTGCCTTAAAAGGATATCGTATAAATCCAACCAGTTAAATTTATTTGTTACACAATAACAGGAGCACAAATAAACTATCTATTTTAACTGGAAAACAAAAAGCAATAAGGTAATTTTACCTTAATAGGAGTTGATATCCTACCGGTT